CAATTTCAATTGAATCATTCTCTTGTGTTAATTAACAACTTATCAAAGCAAATTTTATCACTGCACATTTTACATTTTATCACTGCACATTTTACTTTTATCACTGCACAAATTGGTTATCACTGCACACTAAAATTAGGTATGATTACAATTAACAGCTTGTAAATAATGAGTGTTTGTAGACATTTTACTCGTATGCATGTAAACCAGTGTAATTCAGTTCTTAACTGCAAAATTGGTATCTTTTAATAAATTGATAAATTGATAAACAAAAGGAATATTGTTCTTGCTTCGTTCTTTAGAAAATCCATTTTATAGCTTATTCTTTTGTTATTGTCATAATCAACCAATCACAGAACGTCTTCCTAGAGCTTCGTGACGACCCTCTGAGTGGAGAACATTCAGTATAAATAAGTTACTTTAGAAGCTTAGTGACAATTTAAAAAAATTAGCGCCGGTCAGAAATATGACATTTGATTTGATCAGTAAAAACCTCCGGTTGACGTCAGAAATCTTGGATTTAGAGAGTATTGATATGCTTTTAGCAAGATAAATAGACTTCTAAAACCCTACAGGCATGAAAGTCGAAAAACAAAAACATTAATTAACCGCAATTTACGATTGTATATAAAAAAAAACATCTCGATGATTCAGTGACGTACGAAGAGGCTTCAATGAGAATCGTTTGCAGGATTGTTTTGGCTGCTAAAAGCACTTGAAGTTTTGCGTTTTAAATTCTGGCAGTCCGCCTCGACACCGGCGATCCTCTAAAGAGAATAACCGAAAAAAATTCAGATTATATTTTATTGACGCAATTATTACATTCAGGTTACCCAAGGGCTTGCAAAACAACGTTAGTGGAGGTTTCGAGAAATTCCTCGCAACCATACTTTAGGATCATGTACTTGAAAATGTACTTCAGAAAATTTAAAATTTCCTGGATTATAATTTGATCCTATTACGACGAATAGAACCTAACCCTATATTTGCACGAAACAATGGAATATAACCCAAAACTATTCATTTCATCGAAAGCAGAAAATGTTTGTTACATGAAGAATCGAACAATAGTCACAATGGCCACAGGCATTAAACACTGTGTACCACTATATTTATGGTACCAATGAAGCCACAAATACAAATTTCGAATCCCGACTATTAAATATCAAGTGTCTCTCGGAAACATTTTCATTATGCCATTTTCAATTCTACACTTAGCAACATCTTGCACCCAGAGAACCCTCAAATAATCGGATCTCGAATCGGATGCTAACATTAGAGTATAATCAGCCAGACATGCCTGCATGGATTAACAGGCCTACTTTTGCGGATGATTAACTTATTTTGACTATTTCATAAACCATTAAGTTTGTTTTCACCAACGAGGAAAAATATTGACGTCGTTGAATGTTCTGACATTAATTGGAGTAAGGTAAACCATTAAGTTTGTTTTCACCAACGAGGAAAATCGTTGACGTCGTTGAATGTTAGACGTTAATTGAAGTAAGGTAACATGATTGACCTTGGTTGTCCAGTCAAATTAATGGCATGTATGGCCCTGTCACACTATTGCGTATCATACTAGCATATGCCAGCGTATGAAAAATATCACTCATACGCCGGTATACCGTATACGCTGACATACGCTAGGGGTACGTTAGACATAGGTGGTATACGGTTCAAGCACGGTCCCATACGGTGGCATACGGCGAAGCAGAAACGTTTTTTTAAGCATGCTTAAAAATTTCATGCGTATTCGGACGAACGGTTTATACGTACGGTCTACTGGAACACTTTGGCTTTTCGGGGCCAAGATCTCTTTCAGAGCCACAATGTTATAAACATTGGTGCGGTTAATCTGTTCCTGGGCAATGCTCGTCCGGAAACGCGTTCAGTTCCGAGACAACTCTGCCGTAACTCGTAAGCCACCAATGCTACTGTTTTCAAGTTTTGATACAGATAACAGGAATTAACCATATTGGTGTTATATCAATTTAATTTATATTTATATAACAACATTCCCAGAGTCCATAAGTTAGCTGTGGATGGAATCGTGAAAATTATAGTGTGAAATACGATCGCATGTATTATGGCCTCTGGTGACCCAATCCTATATGCACCCTAATAGACTATGGCGAAATATGCGCACAACACTTGATCTGGTAAATTACCATAATTTGCATCAATTAAAAATGCGCAAACGCTTATTACAGGTCACTGGCATGTCACATTTTCGCACCCTTGGCACTAGAACGAAAACCATATAATTTCTAAATCACGGAGCCTCGACTCGAACTTACGGTTTTAGTTCTCGGCGTGATCTACCACGACGCATGTGGCACGTGTGATTGTTGTGACACGATGACATAACAACGTGGGGGACCCAATTTGCATAAAATGCAAAAAAGCCCGATTGTCATTCAGTACCAAAATAGTTCTTGAATTTTTCACATTTCAAATGCTTTTTACTATGCAATCACAGAGATGTTATCAATTGATTTTTTATCGTCGTGGGACAGCAATTATGCATTCTCAAGATTTTACGACCATGCGAATGCTTCCATACTCGGCTTAAATATGCCTTAAAAAATTCTATGGCGGCTTCTATTTGAAGGATTACTAAAATATGTGCTGCTTTAAATTCTACGCGTGGCTTTCTTATCTAAGCCGCCGCGTGTTCTGTCTGAACGTAGCGAGAGATGTGTGACAGTTGAAAAGGCTTTAAAATGTTTGATTTTTTTACAATGCACGCAGCATAAATATTTTTTACCATGGAAAAGTTGAAAAATTTATTGCAAATGGTTGACTAACTTCGACTCTTTGCAATCAAATATTTTTTACAAACAAGGGCTTCTACAGGTATAGTGCTTTCCTACTCTGCCTCTGGCTTAAAACCGTTATTAAAATGCACGTATAGACCATATGGCGAAATAACGCGTGTACCATGCGCATAGCCATAATATTCAATAGTTTTATTCTGGTAAATTACCATAATTTGCGTCAAGCGCCTAATTATATATGCCGCCGCGTATTTCGAATAGCCACAACAAGGAAACTTGACTTCAAAATGTACGGTCTTGTTTTAATTAATAAAGATATTGGATTTCAAGATGACCTTATTCTGTGCAAAACCTCTGCGGAGTGTGTTTGTTCTTATATTTTTGAAAATTCTCAACCAAGGTTTCCCGATTTTATAGCGCGTGTATTTTTGTCGAAACTTTACAGACCGCGTTCAAACTCGTTCAACCATGTTGGCCATCCAATAATTTTCAAATAATGTTTCTTTTGCAATTATTTTAAAGCATAGATTTTCAAATATTTAGATAAATGTTATGTGATTGTTTTTTTATTCAAAATATTTGAATTTTGCCAAGTATTTAAACATCACTCGTTTAAACGAGCATTTAGTCAGATATTGCTTTGCCTATGATTTATTGTTTAAATCATTTTCATTTATTATGGTCTAAACGACAACCAAAATTCAAATAAAACTTGTTCTTTTAAAGCTTGGTATTCAAAGATTTGTCGAAACATAAACTAACTGAGGAAGTTTGGTAAAGTACCGGCTAAATGATTGTATATGAATCATTTAGTCCTCCAAACCAAAAGTAATTCAATTCGAATTCCAGCCATAGACTACTGAAATTTTGATCTTGGCAAGAAGAACAAAATCCATCACCACAGCTAGCAAGAGCATGTTAAAATTAGTAAAATTGCAAAGTTTGGTTGCGAAATGTTGTAAAATGAGGAAAATATAGCCCTGTGAAGTTCGCTGAATTTTGTATAGATTTGTATTACGCGCGTGAAAAATATTAATTTTTGAGCCGAATCGAAAGTGGTTATTTTTACCGCGCGTAATAGAAATCTATACAAAATTTGCGAACTTCACAGTGCTGTATTTTCCTCACTTTACAACATTTCGCAACCAAACTTTGCAATTTTACTCATTTTAACATGCTCTTGCTAGCTGTGGTGATGGATTTTGTTCTTCTTGCCTAGATCAAAATTTAGTCAATATAGCTGGAATTGCCCATTTAATACCATGCATGAGATTCGAAGTAAATGAAAGCTAGAAAACAGTACTGCTGAAAAACTTACCAATATTCGTTTGGCTTCTTAAACTCACTCCAGAGCAAACGCCAAGAACGGCCACAACAACTAAATACACGATCCTGAAATGATTCTCCATTGCTTTTTTAAATTCTTTACAGTTTTTATTTCCAAGACTTCGGCTCTGCTTCGATTTGGGGTTCACTGGTAATGTTCGTTTTGCTGCCTGCAGCTTTTATAGGAAACGAATTTGGAAAGCGGCCAATCAAGGCGAAGCAATTAAGCATCGGAAACTGGTTTACGTCATTTGTCGAGTTAAGGTCGAGAACCTTACGGAAAATACCGAACAAGGAACTTGAATTTCACCGCCTTAATTGTTGAAATATTTTGCTTCATTCATCGACTTATCATTTGTTATCGCTCTCCAACGCCCACAGAAACACTTCAAGATATGAAGTACGAGGGTAATATTTATAGAGATTACGTTTCTGGATAACTGCTTGAAATTTTTCATGGCATTCATATTTATAAAAAAACTTAAGTAACTTCATATTGGCTTTGTCATGCAGATGTCAGAATGTTCTCCCGCCAGTACTTGCTATTAACTATATTGAAACCGGATATCTTTATCAGTTTAGAGGTCCAGCAGCCATGGGTCATCTCTTATTGATCCAGTGTTACTACAGGAGGAAACCTAAACTAAACTAACTTTATTTATACTGGATAGCTTTATCAGTTCTAAACTATTCTTCCTAGAAGTCCAGTAAGGACCATCTCTTATTGATCCAGTGTTACTACAGGAGGAAACATAAACTAAACTAACTTTATTTATACTGGATAGCTTTATCAGTTCTAAACTGTTCTTCCTAAAGTATAGGTCCAGTAAGGGTCATCTCTTATTGATCCAGTGTCACTACAGGAGGAAACATAAACTAAACTAACTTTATTTATACTGGATAGCTCTATCAGTTCTAAACTGTTCTTCCCAGAGGTCCAGTAAGGATCATCACTTATTGGTCCAGTGTTACTACAGGAGGAAACCTAGTTCATTTGTATCAGTTTTAATCGGCTCTCCCCAGAGGGCCAGTAAGGTTCATCCCTTATTGATCCAGTGTTACTACGGGACTGAAACCTAAACTAAACTAACTTTATTTATACTGGATATCTCTATCAGTTCTAAATTGTTCTTCATGGAAACTTGGGGGTTGTATTATGATGAAAAACTGTACCAGGATTTTTGGGAATTCAAAATCCCCGCAAAAATGTCCAAGGATTTTGGGATTTTTTGTAAGATTTTCAGCGGATTTTATTAAGGGAGATTTATGGCAAGATTTTAAGTTTTTGACGAGATTTGGGGATTTTATAAAGGACTTTGTGCATTTTGCAAGAGATTCAGTTAGCTACTTTGTTGGATTTTTAGTGATTTTAAATGAAGATTTGGAATTTTAGGAATTTCAAAATTCTTGGGAGGTTTCGGAATTTTTCTAAAAGATTTTTGGGAAAGGGTACGGGGCGGATTTTTGGAGTAATATACCTTTCGAAAAGTCTCGCAAATATGCTCATTATAGTGATCGTTTCTTATTGTTCCAGTGCTATTGCAAGAAGAAACTCAAACGAAATTAACTTTATTTATGGTGGACAGCTCGATTAGTTCTAAAGTGGTAGGGTCTTGGAGATTCCGAGGGTATTTTTTATCGGTCCAATATTACCATAAGGAGGATATCTAGATGAAACCTAGAGGGAACCACGATTTATTTTAAGTTCTAGCTATAGTCGCTTCGCACCGACCGCGGACTGTGGCTCGTAATCCTATATGTGTTTTCTATTAATGTGAACCCCTTGATAAGCAATATATGCTTAATTTTGGGTAGGCATCAGATAATACATTTTTATATAAAAAAAAACCTTGACTTGCGACACTGCTTCTCAAAAGGAGTTTTTATTCTGCCAAATAAAACCGCTTTAAGAGTCCGTCTTGGAGAAATCTAGAGAAACCTAACTAAATTAAACGTCTTGAATTACCACTTTATTTATACCGGTTAGTTCCATCAGTTCCAAACTATATTCTTCCTATAGGCTATAGATTTCCAGTCATAGAGTTCCAGAGGAGAATTAATGGATCACGAGGACACGATCCTTACATCCTTTGCACCGTCATGATAATGTCAATATATAAACGTGATGCAACACTGTTCCGCTAAGCAAGACTGCCAAGAGGTCCTGCGGTACAAGGGCCATTATTGCCATTCCTTTATTCCTTATTTGTTCAACTACAGGAAGCAACTACAGGAAGAACAAGAGCAGCCGGAAAAAGATGCGATATTTGATAAAGTCAAACTGGAAGAACTATCCACAACTTAGTCTGAGACATAGATATCTATGGTCTGAGACGAAATTATAATTAGACAACTGACGGCTGCGATAAAGAATTTATATATAACTTCATGAAACATATGAGGAAGTTATGTAGCGAAGGAACTGATTAGCTACAACTATTGAGGAGTTAAGAAATTAGAACTACTGGGGCTAAGTCTCATGCAATGAGGACCACTTTGGCACTTTCCCCAATAGTATTAAGCATACCAAAGACCTAAAAACATTCTGTGCTGACTTTTAAAAGCGGGAATGTCGAGAATGTGAGAGAATATGAGAAAGCAAGTACTTGAGCCTTTTTATTCATGATCATCTTGCCGTTCACCACTGGGGTAAGCAAATGAACTACTGGGGTAAATGGGTTATAATTATATAGTTAAAAAATGCCTTTCTGTTGTCGGGAGGTTACTACAAACTTACTGGCGAAGGCGGGCCTTCGCTATCAAAATCGCGAAGTTTTGCTTATGTTTTTTTGGAGGTATAGTTGTATATCCTTGACACTACAGCTGCATGTCTGTCATCATCTTTGGACTTTGCATATTGCAAGAACGGAACTATACGGTTACATAGATGAGTGATACATGGGCATGGCTAACTACCGTGACACCAAACACGTTTCGGTTCGATTTTTTTTTACAGTGAAATTTATTACCGCTTAAATGTAATGCCTTAAAAAGGAATAAAATGCATTCAAACAAAGAAAAAAAAAATATGTACACTGTACATGGTCTTTCCCCTATATGTATAATAAAACTCTTTCTTTTGCAATGGACCTTTCCCCTTGTAACTAAATTTTGATCTAGGCAAAAATTTCATCACAGCTTGAAAGAGCATCACAAAATTAGTAATATTCCAAAGTTTCGTTGCGAAATGTTGTAAAATGCGGATAATATATTATATAGCCCTGCGAAATTTGCAATTTTCAGTCATTTTGTATTCCAAACTTCTCGCCCAAATTCTTTTTCAGAGGTCTTTGCGAAAAATATGAAGTGACACAGCAAATTGGAACAACACTGGAATCACATAAACTTAATTTCCATACATTTTTTACAGTTTTCCAGCAAAAGTTTTTATATCATATAGTTTATATAGTTCTATAATAACAAGAACGAATTCTTTCTATTAATAACAAATATTTTCCTTTAATCAAAAGGCCACCTTTCGGTCCTATCCCCCCCCCCCTTGCCCCTCCTGGTAGAGGGCAAGAGGGGCAGGTGCCCCCCAGTTCCGGCGTCCCTGAGTTTCCTAAGTTTTGTTGCTTTTGTGCCGGCCAGATTGCTAAACATTTATGAGGTCAAGGCCGCCTGCTGTTTGCCAAAACCATTGAAGTATTTCTTGCACGTACTGTACACTTGGGGTCATACACACGAACAAATTTTCCTTTTAACGGACACATGAGTAAATAAAATTGGCCGTCTGTACAAGGGTTTAATGCGTGTTTAATACAAGTCAATACGAGCAGTCACGTCTCTACGACACTCGCGTATACGCGCGTCTACATGAACATTCGTCAATTTCCCTCAGCTAAACAACTTTCTTTCTACCGAGTTCCGTATCACGTAACTGAAATACTGTATCAGTCGCTTCCGTCCCGGTTTGGACACGGATCTCTTTGGAAGATTTTATTCCTGTTTTCGGAAGCGAATGTTCGATAAATTTCCGCGGTGAAGCTTATCAACTTCCTACCCAGGGCTTTCCAGCGGTCAAACGTTGGAAGCTGTTCCCACCGTGGCCAGGCATATTTTTCAAGCCTGCCCGGTGTGGATACACACTGAGAGTAACATCACAAGCATCTTATTCACCTGAGTACACTACGCCAACACTGAAAATATCACAACAGACACTGTTTAAAAGAACCCGAATGTTGTCGAGAAGATCTTGTAGACTGTAGTTCAAGATTATTATTGCTGTTTCAGTAAACAACCTTTCGCTTGAACCTCCTAGCTATCACTAGAAAAATAATGTAGTTTTGCTAAACCGCGACTTATTTCAAACATCAAAATCATCCCGCCTAGCCCCTTTGGTGGCAAAGTCAAAATGCATGTGAACAGGAAGCCATAGATTTTTCAACAAGTTTCCTTTCGTGATCGATTATTGCCCGGTCCGAGGACTTTTCCATTCATATGAAAAGCTGTTAAGTGACGTATGCTATCACACAATAGTGCACTGCTATCGATTACATGGGAAGTTCATGGAACGCTCGAGAAAAATTTTATAGCATCTTTTTCAAGTGCTTCTGCAGTAAAATTTATCCTGCTTTTATAGAACCAAATAGCGCGTCTTTACAGTATTTTTCTACTTGCTTTTTCCTAAACAAATATACTAGCTAGAAACATATTACCTCAGACTGCGTGCCATAATGACATTTTGAATGAAAGAACACCGTTTTCAACTTGGTAAATTTTCATAGACTGGCATAGATGATAGGATGCTTTTTCGAGTACAATTTGGAGTTGATCCTTCAATCGAAATTAAGCCCTTAGGGCTTAGGGGCCTTATTCTTATGTTTCAATTTTCAAATTATTCCGACTTGAAATAAAGGATGTACCCGGTGGCGTACCATTTTTTATACATGAAGATTAATTTATTTTCTTAATATTTCGCATGCATGATAATTTCTGCTATTGTATTAATTATGCATATTACGTAACATTCCCGCCGAGTTGCGATTCTTGTCTGTATAATTCTTGAAATTATATTTGTGTGTTTGTATCGTTTTGTAATCCTTTTCCATCCCTTGTAAATCGAACTCCGCAAAAGCCAACGTCAAAGGAAAACATCTACTAATTCTTGGCAATAATTTGGCTTCATTTGTTAAATATTCGTATATTTTAAGCAGCAAGAAAAATTCACTTTATATACAGAAAATATATTATAATATATTAGCAGAAATGACTCAAACTGTTGCAACTTTTAAGGTAAGCACAGCTAAGACTCGCTTCATATTCTTTCTTAAGCAATTTCAAATATGATTTATATACAAATTCTATGTATGTTTATGTTTACCCGACGTATATGGAACGGATGAAATCGATATCAATCAATAGTAAACTATTGATTGATTTTGATTGGTCGACTGGCTTTCCAATGATTGATATTCATTGATTTCATTGGCCGGGGTCTTTATTAAACGCTTTGAAGATATCTGGCCCAATCGTCTGTAAGACAATGCCGTCAATGATCATCGGTTGGACAAAACCATTTATGCCCTATTCAAGGTTTGATTACCACCGTGGCCAGGCATATTTTTCGGGCTTGCCCGGTGTGGATATACACTCAGAGTAACATCACAAGCATCATATTCACCTGAGTACATTACACCAACACAGAAAAAATCATCTAACGTTACATAGCACTCCTCGGTTGCACAAGGTGCTTTTTAGCCATCAGGGCTTTCACTGCCGACTACTTTACCAGTGACCGCCGACTATAATTTGGTGGAGTTAGTGAAGTATCTAAATTATTTTTGTTCACAACAACAATGTATTCAATCTTGTTCCAGTCAAAAACATGAAATACATTTTGTTTTTTATTAAAGTTGGTTCTCGTTGGAGATGGTGCAACTGGCAAGACGACATTTGTAAAACGACACAGAACGGGAGAGTTTGAAAAGAAATATGTTGGTAGGTTCAGTCCTTGTAATCGGGTCATTCATCCAAAAACACCTGCCCCATAAGGAAATTTCAAATCAACCCCCCTCTCCCCTTCATAATTTTTAAAATTATGGTGCTGCTGTAAAACAATATAAACTTCGAAAATTTTATTAGAAAGTACATGGGGATTTGCATGAGACAGAGGCTCGACAGGCATGCACAGGGGTGGAAAAAGTATCGGAACTTGGGAACCTATAGTTCCCAGAAATTTTTTTGAGTTGAGAGTTTTGCAGAAAATTTTCCAGAAAATATTTCAACATTTTGAGATAATTCTACTATTCTACTTTATTTACACTGTACATGCTAAAATCACTTTTAAATATTTGACAGAAATTAATTCTTTTACCCACCCCTGCCATCACAATGAAGAAAAAGGGAAAATATATGCTCTGCAAAGTCTCCAATAAATGCAAATTAAATAGTAAACAAATAAAAGTGATGGAATAAATAAGATGATAGATAGGACACTTAGTTAAGCATTAGATCCTTACTAGTTGGTCATAACTCATAATTGTGGTATATAACAGACAACTATTGTGATGTACGAGCATACGAAAACCAGCCTATTTAAGCCTATAATTACTAAAGTACAAATAATACAATAATTATGCATTTGTTTTGTTATTTTTGTAATTGTAACATTGCAAATTTTACAGAAAATTTCTAGACTTTGACCCAGGTTCCCAGAAAGAAAAAAATTATTTCCACCCCTGGGCATGCATGTCTGTTTTAATGCAAAATTTCCATACATTCCCCATTATATTAGACACTAGTGCCACCATTTTTAAAATATCACCTCCAAATTTTGTGCAGTACTTACTAATTTTGTCCTGTGTATGGTATTGTAATCGCGTTCTGGTATTTATAATGATAACATCAAATAGTAATTTGACTCAAAAACATGATAATTAACCCACTGAGTGGCAGCACTCTCCCTGTGATGAGCAAAATTGACTGGCGTTAGACAGAGTAAAATAATAAAGTAGGGCGCATCTGGGCGCATTGCCACTTAAAGGGTTAAGGTCTGCCTGAAATACTAATGACATTATTTTTGACCACTTTAAGAATAAGGTGTTTCGATTTATTTTAGCAACTTTGGGTGTTGAGGTTCATCCTCTAAAATTCAATACCAACAGAGGAATAATCCAATTTAACGTCTGGGACACGGCCGGGCAGGAGAAATTTGGAGGGTTGCGTGACGGCTATTATATAAACGCACAATGTGCTATAATCCTATTTGATGTTACATCACGGGTGACATACAAGAATGTCCCCAACTGGCACAGAGATCTCATCCGTGTCTGTGAGAATGCCCCCATTGTCATGTGTGGAAATAAATGTGATGTCAAAGACAGAAAAGTAAAGGCGAAGAGTATCACTTTTCACAGAAAGAAAAATTTACAGGTGCGCAACAGACCTTTTTAAAAAGTCTGCCTTGTGACATAGTTTGTGGATAAAGGAAAATCCCGCACAGCCATTTGGCTTGCTTGATTGGCCAAATGATATAGAGCTGTGCAAACTCCGGTTATTTTAGCTCCGGCTCCGGCAGTCAAAACTCCGGCTCCGGCAAGGAATTTTTAAGGAAATTTCATATTTAAAAGCGGAAGCAGGCGAAAGTATTTCAGTGTAATTTCAGAATTTATCTTTTTTTTAATATACACCTTTTTACAACACTATTAATAGTAAACAACATAGTAATCTAATATATAGTAAGACAACATATAAATAGTAATATATTAGTAAACAACAACTTAAATTTTCCATTTGATACCAAATGTTCATTGAAATATGAAATAATTTTTCATAATTTTGTCTGCAGAAGTTTTCCAACTTCGGCAAAATTATGAAAAAGCTCTGCATACTACGTCACAAGGCAGACTTTTTAAAAAGGCCTATATTATTATGTACAGTTTATGGTGATACTGAATATTAACACATTGAGCACTAGTGCTCTCCTTCTGACGAGTAAAATCATCTGTCATTAGACAGAGTAAAATGATAAATTACTTTTCTCTTTTTAACGCCAGACGATTTACTTGTCAAGGGGGAGCGCTGGCATCCAGTGGAAAAGTGGCTAACTTTTCCGCTCATCGCGAAAATCAAGGTGCAAGCTTGATGCAAGTGTTTTAACCAGTGCTCGACAGTCTATTTCCTAAATGTAATATCAATAAATGCAATATAAATGCAATACCAAGAAAAATGCAATACCATATAAATGCAATACCAAAAAAATGCCCTGACGTAAAATGCCTTAATCACCCCCAATCTTTTGTTTTAGTACTATGACATTAGCGCAAAAAGTAACTACAACTTCGAGAAACCGTTCTTGTGGCTAGCTCGAAAACTCACGGGTGACTCTAACCTCGAGTTCACAGAAATGCCCGCACTCTTACCGCCTGAGGTGGTGATGGACCCCAACATGCAACAGATGTACGAAGCAGAATTAAAACAAGCCCAAGAAACTGCCTTGCCTGATGACGAAGACGATGATTTGTAGAATGGGTTTTTTAAGTGTATCTAAATTTTTAGGCATGCGCAGCTTTTCATGAGAAACAGCTGATAATTAGTGTTAGTGAAGTAATACCTATTTGTAATAATACTGTGTAATATGTATTTATTGTACCTTCAATGGAACGAAATTTGCCCAGGCCAAGAAAAAATACTTTTGCTGACCTCACCTATTTTTGGGCATTGAAATCATCTTACTGTTTTTATCTGAAGTTTGCAAAGAGCTGGGAACATTTCGTAGAAAACTAAAATTAGACGTCAAAGTTATGAAATTTTTTTGAAAATTTTTTGAATTAAAAGGGTACAAAAAAGAAAAAAGCCACCTACCCTAAGTTTTTCTTGGCTCTGGGAAAATATTAATTGTCCTGGAACCAAACATAAATACCTTGGGAAGAGAATGTTAAGAACATTTTGTGAGTAGTATGCTCAACGTCTTAATTGCAAAACATGAACAGGACCGGTAATGGGCACAACGGTGTAACGGGGACTCAACCTGCAATGTCCAAAGCTAATTTCGCCTTGATTGCCTGAAGCAGGTTATATCCGTATCACCTTACGTGAAATATTGTCATCCGCAAAACATGAAACATTGCATTGTATGTTGAGGTTTTAAAGAAAGAATTTTAATTCTTTTGTAAACTTGTATGTATTTTACAGACAAATTTGGGTAAACCCAATTCAAAACTTTGGATAACTGCGCCATCAGTAATCAGTATATTCGTCGACAAACTCTTATCTCATGAATTCTAAAATTTAATGTAAAGGCCCCTTACACTTGCAATATTTGCTGCGATTTTCTTCCGGTGGATGCAGGGGCGAAACTTGAGGGGGGTGTGGGGGTGTGTGACCCCCCCCCCCAAGTACAAATCATCTGGATTGGCAGGGCAAATCATCTATCTGGATTGGCAGGGCAATGAAAGATTTTAAATGATAGAATGTAGAATTATGAAGTAGATTCCAGGGCACCCAGAGGGAATTGATAGAATTTATAGATCTAAATTTTACAGATATTGGTAAAAAAATAAGGGTTTCATGCATGTTTTAACAGGAATTTGTCCGCAAAAAATTTTTTGACCCTTAATTGGTTTATGTCCGGAAAAATTTTTGCTGCATGGCATCATCGGCTTTCGCAGGGCAATTCTAGCAGACACCCCCCTAAGTAAAAGGGGCTAGTTTCGCCCCTGGGTGGATGTGAACGAGTTATCAATCTTCAGAAGACTCAGAACATTCATAACTCACCTACTCTTTCACATGCATGTATCAGAATTCAGAAGAAAAATGATCCAGTCGGTCTCAAAATAAGTGCAGTCAGTCTCAAAATTATGCGTTTGTTTATATATGCAGTGCTTTGCGAAGCAAACTAAATATTTTCGAAACTTGGAGACATATCAAACTATTGAGTTTGCTCGAACGGAATCAAGCAGCTCAAGAAAATTTGCTCAAACGGAATCAAGCAGCTTAGCCGACTAATATGAAAAAAGATTACGTACTTATTTCGCGAGTTTGTGAACGAATTAAAATAATTATCAAAACACGCGCCAAGGGATGAAGTTTCATTTACTTTCCAAGCATGTATGGGGATACTATCTATATGTCACGAGGTCTATCTATATGTCTGCAAGGTCATTCATAGGCTCGATTACAGCTCCCCCCGCCAACGGGAGGGGGGGGGGGGGTCCGTATTTACTAGTAGATATGGACCCCCGGGGTCCGAATCTACGGGGGTCCAAATCAACTTGGACACCGGCTAGTAATCGAGCTTAGGTCATTCACGGGTATTAGCCAAAATTTCAAACCCCCAAAATCAGACTCGAAATGCGATGAATCTCGATCAAAATATATAACTTTACGAGAAGCTCAATACGTTTAGTTACAATATTTCTCCGGTCCCTAAACTATATTTTTAGCATGCAAAGTGCAAAAACGAATTTTTAGATGAATTATTTTAGAAAGTATGTTCACATGTATTAATTGAACACGATATGCATACCAGTATATCTTTTGTTTGGTATTACCAAAACGTTTTATATGCCGGCATATGGTAAAACGTGGACTGGACTGGACCACACTGGACCGGCAAAACGCGGACTGGACTCAGATGTTCCTGCGGTAAATCAGCGGCATGCCATATACTTCGTGTTATCAAACGTCAAAAAATTGATCACGTGGTTGCATGCTATCGCCCGGTAAAACCTGGATAAAACCACTTCAAACCAGTAGACGCAAAAATGGCTCAAACTGTTACAATGTTTAAGGTAAGCACAGCTGCTAAGATCGCTTTATTTTATTTCATAAGCAATTTCAAACATGATTTATATAAATTCTATATATGTTTATGTAATACAGTAATTTACCCGGTGTAGAACGGATGAAATCGATATCAATCAATTAGTATTAAAGACCTTGTCAAGTCCGTAATGACTGTAAACAAATCCTTTGTTTACATTTTGAACTGCTGTATTTGTAAAATAAGACATACTAACTGAATATCTAACACTTCTGGTTCGGCAGGTTTGCTATTGTATTGTTCGCTAGAGTACGTTTCAATTCAAAAAAGTTCGAAAGATGCAAAATTTGGGCAATGCCAATGTTTATATCTGTGTGCTCCCCCTTATTTTGTTATGAGGAGAACTGATGCGCAGAACGGACTTGACATGGTCTTTAAACTTATTGATTGATTTTGATTGGTTGATTGGCTTTCCAATAATTGATATTCATCGATTGCATTGACCGGGATCTTTATTAAACTTTGAATATATCTGGCCCAATCGACTGTAAGAAACTTGTCATCAATGATCATTGGTTGGACAAAATCCGTTTAAGCCCTATTCAAGCGAGCCCAACATCATCGAACATCGTTGTAGCACTTCTCGGTTGCTCAAGGTGCTTTTTTAGCCTTCAAGGCTACCAGAGGCCGCCGCCGGCTATAATTCGGTTGAATTAGTGAAGTATATCTAAATTATTTTCTTTCTATTTTTTTTTGTCTACAAGAATAATGTATTCATCATGAAATAGAGACATTTTTGTTTTTTTTATTATAGGTACTTCTTCTTGGAGATGGTGCAACTGGCAAGACAACATTTGTAAAACGACACAGAATGGGAGAGTCGGAAAAGAAATGTGTTGGTAGGTTCAGCCCTTGCAATTGCGTTGTGTGGGCAACGCATATTTCGTTTCTCGATGTGTTGTCAGCAGTCCCTCCTTTCTTTTCCTTTTGCATGCCCGGAAATCTAAGCCCGCGGAAAGGAGGGACCACTCGCAGTCTAAGGTCTACCTGAAATAATGAGGTTATTTTTTACTACTTTGTGTGTTATTGAAAGACAAAGGTGTTCAATTTATTTTAGCAACTTTGGGAGTTGAGGTTTATCCTCTGAAATTCAATACCAACAGAGGAATAATTCAATTTAACGTCTGGGACATTGCTGGGCAGAAGAAACCTGGACAATTACGTGACGGTTATTATATATGCACACAATGTGCTATAGTTTTATTTGATGTTACGTCACGGGTGACATATGACAATGTCCCCAACTGGCACAAAGATATCATCCGTATATGCGAGAATATCCCCATTGTCATATGCGGTAATAAATGTGATATCAAAGACAGGAAAGTAAAGGCAAAGAGTATCACTTTTCACAGAAAGAAAGATAATTTACAGGTGTGAAATTATTATACATGTACAGTTTATGGTGAGTGTTTTAACTAGTACTAAGTGTTTTAACCAGTGCTCGACAGTCTATTTCCTAAATGCAATACACTCGACTACACTAGGTACCAGGCTTCCAGTCAATGCGCGAACTATTGCTGTATTTACAATCATATTAATCATGAGAAAACATTATCTCATTGAAGAAAACAAATGTACTCTAAAATAAGTATATTATTGTCTTGCAAAAAACAGATTTTTTAAGAAATATTTTTCTAAAATCACGATATTTTCACTGATTTTTTGCTATGTACTATAACTATAAGATCGTACCAAAAAAATGCCCTTACGTAAAATGCCTCAGTTTATAGTTGCCTCAATCTTTTGTTTTAGTACTATGACATTAGCGCAAAAAGTAACTACAACTTCGAGAAACCGTTCTTGTGGCTAGCTCGAAAACTCATGGGTGACCCTAACGTTGAGTTCACAGAAATGCCCGCGCTCTTACCGCCTGAGGTGGTGATGGACCCCAACATGCAACAGATGTACGAAGCAGAATTAAAACAAGCCCAAGAAGCTGCCTTGCCTGATGACGAAGACGATGATTTGCAGAATGGTTTTTTTTAAATATATCTACATTTTTAGGCATGCGAAGCTTTTTATGAGAAACAGATGATAATTAGTGTTAGTGAAGTAATACCTATTTGTAATAATACTGTGTAATATGTATTTATTGTACCTTCAATGGAACGAAATTTGCCCAGGCCAAGAAAAATTACCTTCCCGGCCCTGACCTTACCTATTTTTGAGCATTGAAATCATCGCGAACCTTAATCTTTTTATCTGAAGCTTGCACAGAGTTTGGAGCAATAGTTCGTAGAAAACTGAAATTAGACGTCAAAATAATGAAATTTTTTGAATGGATACAAAAGGATACAAAAAAGAAAACCCCACCTACCCTACCTACGTTTTTCCTGGTCCTGGGAATATATTAATTGTCCTAGGACCATACATAATAATACCTTAAATTGCGCTTATATAGTCATCCACAAAACATGAAATATTGCGTTGTACAGGGTGCAGAGTAGAAAAAACTGATACATTCGCGGCTAATTTGAACAAAGGTGTCAGTTTTTTTTTACTCACCCTGTATGTTGAGCTTTTAACAGTGGCCAAGCCAGCCCGACTATTTGGTCATGCTATGTACTGTTTAATAAACGAGCAGGAGTGTTTTATTAGGTTTAAAGACACGAGCGCGCAGCGCGAGTGGCTTTAGACCTAATAAAACACGACCTGCTCGTTTATTAAACGGCTTCAAACACGACTACAAATTCAATAGATATACTGCCTTGTTAGTATTCTTTATATAAAAAATACTAATGAGGACACGACTACAATAGATACTACCTTATTGGTATTCTTTATATAAAGAATACTAATTAGGAGTGTTTTATCAGGTTTAAAGCCACTGCACGTGACATATTATGGTTGACATGATTTGCCAATAAGCTTATGAATTATTGAGTGTTTGAAATGCAAATATTTCCCTGTTCATAGACAAAACGGTCAATTTCTAAAGAAATGAATAATGATGATTTAATAAAATTTGCATAGCATGACCAAATTGTCGGGCTGACTTCGCCACTGGCTTTAGAATTTTAATTCTTTTTGTAAACTTGTATGTATTCTACAGACAGGGTAAACCCAATTCAAAACTTTGGATTCTTGTTTTTCTTGACAACCGTACGCACAAACAAATTTTCCTTGGGTCCAAGAGCTGGCATGACCAGCTTTGGAAAAAGGCTTCTATTTGGCAAAGAAAAAATGTTAATTTTTTGCCGTATACACGAGCACAACCTCGCGAGGTTGACACGAGCAAATCAGTAACACTTGTCAAGGAAAACTTGTTCGGGGCTTTATAAGGATTAAAGAGGGTATAAAGGTTAAACATACCGAGATATTATTGGCCACAACTATTTTCCTTGATCAGCTGTTGTTTAATTTATATGTCACGCAGTGTTAATTGTTATATTGTCACAGGACAAGACACAGCGAGTGCGTTTCACTTTCTGCATTTCATTGAAAATTCAGCATCTAATTCATTGAGAATTCAGCATTTAATTGACCGACACTAAACTGGTGGAGTATACCTAAATTTCTGTTGAAAAGATGAATTTTTGCCTGTTGGTTTTGTATTTTCTAATAGGAATCGTGTTTGCAAATAAGTCCAGTTCTAGATTATCAAACTTCGAAGAATATTTTGATGCTCACGAGAAACCAAGCCAACCAAGTGCCCCCACGACCAGTACAGCTCACCAAGGAATGCTCTATCCTCGCGAGTCTGAAAGCAGGCAAATCAAAGATCTATGTGGTCTATGGTCATTCCGAGCCGACAAGTCACAGAATAGAAATGCTGGTTTTGAGGAGAAATGGTATGAACAAGATTTAGCTAAGGTTTGTTTGTCTTAATATACTCTGCATGTATAAACTTCTTATGTGTATAAGTTTCAGGCCTGGCTGCCTTCGTCTTAGACCTTAGGCTTAGCTTCGGAATTTTCTATCTAGAAAATATAAAACAACATTCATTATCTACGCCAACGGAAAATCTTTACGTTTCAACGGTGAATGCTTGTCTGTCAAACTTTAATTTAAAAGTTAGGCCTCTGGAACTGCATGCTCGCGCTCTGCAGGGGTGCGAGAATTCGAAATTTTAGTCGTGCTTGACTGCATTCTCCAATGATTATTGCGGCGTACTTGAGCTGGTAGAAACTACAAACTTAAGACTCAAGGTGTACTTAGTCTTTAAGATGAAGTACATAAAGTACAGGTTTCTCAAAGGTATTCATTCAGTGACCTGAAACTATGAGATCAAGAAGCACAATTGCATAAACAAACACAACACTCTACTTTGACATTCGTAGTAATCTCATCATCTGTAGTAATAAAGGCCATTTTTTGCCACGCTAGTGCTTGGGAAACAAGGAACTGATGCGCTACCTTTCCGTCGCTTCGGTAGGACTACGATACGTTTGCCTGTTTTCCACTTCAATCGTTAAGCCCAGTTTCCATTTGGTCGTTAGTTGTCGCTGGCACGACAAGCGGTACTATGAGATGTGAAATAGTCTAATATAATAGTAGTCTTTTTGTGTGTTAATATATGCAAATTATCAAAATGATTGCAGAGTTTTATAAAGTTTTGTTGACACTCTATTACATCAGCCACTTGTCATGCCAGCGACAACTAACGACCAAATGGAAACTAGGCTTAACGTACCGTAACATTCTCTTTTGTGTTGAAGTCATTAGTTCCACACTACCGCTCAGGAAACAAAGAAATACGCTTCGTTTCGGTACGATACGGTTGAAGTGGAAAACTCGCTTAAAACGACCTTTAATGTCAAGCCGTGTCAGGCTTGCACACACTCCGGGATCAAACGACCTGGTGAAGACTCGTTACACTTGCAATTTTCCTGCGATTTTCTTATGATGCATGTGATGTGTACCCCTCACCTGAACATTCAACTCATCAGAAGAAGAAAATTGTAGCAAAACTTGCGATTGTAAAGGGGCCTTTGTATAAATTCAACTATTTTTGAACGTTGGATAATCACTGGCATTTGATCATTTCACGTGATAATTGACACGCTCTTCCAACGCTCTTTGTTGCACCAACAACGCTGGAATCGCTTCATCGACGGAGCTTTATAAAACTTGAGAACAGTCCTAAATTCATCTATCTGCCAGGTGCAAACGTTCTGGTGTCAGGCAAGTTTTTACTCACGCCGGGTAGACAGCTTAAGATAAATAGGAAACTCTCTGATCCAGGGTAAAATTCATCCAATCCCCTTAACATTTTAGACCGGTCCAGTTATACCCATGGCCGTACCATCCAGTTTTAATGACGTCACTCAAGATGATACATTGCGAACGTTCATTGGTTGGGTTTGGTACGACCGCATTGTGTATGTCCCGAAATCCTGGAAGACTGAGGATCTGCGGGTGGTACTGAGGTTTGATAGTGCTCACTATAATACCATCGTGGTAAGCATGGTACTTAGCAAACTTTATTTATACTGGATAGCTTCATCAGTTCTAAACTGTTCTTCCTAGAGGTCCAGTAAGGATCATCTCTTATTGATCCAGTGTTACTACAGGAAGAAACCTAAACTAAACTAACTTTGTTTATACTGGATAGCTTCATCAGTTCTAAACTGTTCTCCCTAGAGGTCCAGTAAGGATCATCTTTTATTGATCCAGTGTTACTACAGGAAGAAACCTAAACTAAACTAACTTTATTTATTCAGGATAGCTTCATCAGTTCTAAACTGTTCTCCCTAGAGGTCCAGTAAGGATCATCTTTTATTGATCCAGTGTTACTACAGGAAGAAACCTAAACTAAACTAACTTTATTTATTCAGGATAGCTTCATCAGTTCTAAACTGTTCTCCCTAGAGGTCCAGTAAGGATCATCTTTTATTGATCCAGTGTTACTACAGGAAGAAACCTAAACTAAACTAACTTTATTTATTCAGGATAGCTTCATCAGTTCTAAACTGTTCTCCTAGGTGTCCAGTAAATTGATTCAGTCAACTACGGGAAACCCAAACAAACTGACTTTCTTAGTAGTTTGTAGTTCGCTTAACACATTAATGCATTCACTCTTGTCAAATGTAATATTTAAAAATGTTTTTAATGTATTTTAGTGGGTGAATGGGCAACATGCATGTCGCATACCGAGTCACCTCCCCTTTGAAGCACAAGTGAATACATTGATTCAGTATGGTGATGCAAACAGAATAACAGTGGCAGTTAATAATACTCAAGGCAACAACGTTACCTCCTGGAAAACAGATCTCACTGGACCTCAGTATGTTTGAGAAAAAATGAAGTGTTCATTTTAGCCAGGAGGGGGGAGGGGCGAAGGAGACCTTTTACACAAGGTAGCTGTAAATTAAAATTAAGTGAAATATGCATAGGGCCAAAAAAAAAATATGTGGGTTTCCGGTTTCCCGACCCTACCTAGCTTTTGGACGTCCAAATCCCGACCCTAAACTTTTTTATTGGATAATGCTTGTAAGTGTTTCCACTTAGAGGAAAAAGTTTGTGGAAAATTGAAATTTGAGGCAATATTAGGGAAATGTATCTTTGGATGTGGAAGCACTGACTAAACAAAATGGCGTCGCTTAATATAAATTGACATTTGGAAGCATTTGGTGCATTCTACACGCCGTTTTGGGCTGCCTATGCCGCTTTGTTCGGAAAATTAAAAAAAAAGTTAAAAAAAGAAAGTTAAACCGACCTACCCTACCTAAGTTTTTATAAGAAGAAACCGGAAACCCACATATTTTTTTTTGGCCTAGGAATAAGGGAAGCTGGAGCCATTAAAACAATCCGCTAGTTCTTGCTAAAACCGCTCGTAGTCGTCATCATTATTACTTACCTTCTGAGGCATTTTATTTTAATGAATTTTTTGAACATGAGCAGCCAATCTTTATCTGATATACAAACTCTCCTCTTCGGATGCGAATCTGATTTTTTAACGTACTTAACTGAAAAACGACACATCTTATGAGTTCATTGGCGAAGTAATTTAAAAATAAACATTGTCTAAGCTGAGAAAATCAAACCTGAAGTTTATGTGAAATTGTAAATCAGGACAAATCTTTATCCGATTTACAAACATTGATTAAACATTCATTTCTTTTGTATTTTCCTCGTGAATTATTAATGAGATTTTTAAACATTGATTATTAATGAGTATTTTAAGATAATATAGAGTGTCCTACTCCTTCCCTCCTCTCTTTCAGATACCCTCCCGGTTATTTCATTCAAACCTACGAATTTGATTTCTTCAACTACGCGGGCATCCATCGCCTGGTTCGTTTCTACACCACACCCCAAGTCTACATTTCCGATATCTCAGTCGTCACTGACCTCTCGCCTAATAATACTGAGGGAAGTCTACAGTTCAAAGCTCTCATCATAAGTCCAGAGAGATATCGTGCCTCTCTTACGATGAAGTACGAACTGTATGATACAAATGGCAAGGTTGTAGCCAGTGTGTCGGGGTCTGGAATGGAGAGCGGTGTTTTGAAAGTGAGTGATGTTAAACCCTGGTGGCCAATTGGACTGAGCGATGCCCCCGGATATCTTTATAACTTGAAAGTACGTATCTCGTAAGTTCTTTATTTGGGGACGTTGTGCGGATAGTTACCCTGCGAGCAGAGCCTTATTTTCGTTTCTTCGGCGAGGGGGGAAGGAGAAAATGAGGCTCTGCTCGCAGGGTAGCGGATAGTGATTTTTTCAGCCGTTGTAAAACTGCTTGTATAGAGTGATAAAAGTACGATCATGGATCCCACAATTCATAAAAGGAAACTTTTAATTTTTATATACTGAGGGACCAGTCATCATTTATGGCGGGGGATGGCGCCGAAGAGAAAAGGGTTGGGTAAACAGAATTTTGAGTGAGTAAAAGGTTGAGTAAATGAAAAATAAAACAACTCAAGTGTTGGGTAAAAAAATATCATTTCCAAGGAATGACTCACTTGAAGACTAAAAAGCAATGTCAACAGTCATAGGTCAATACAGATACGTGAATCAATCAGAATCACTATCTTGATCACTTTCCGATTTGTCAGGAGGCAAATGCTGCCTCCAAAGTACATGTGCAGACAACATGAAACTTTAGACTGCAGAAAATTGCACAAGCAGTTATCAAACTCGTGTCACAGTCAGAAGTGGTAAAAGACATGTGTGACAACTGAACGCTATTCTTTTGTAACGTTTTTGGCTAGGGGTGGGTATTGCATAAGAAAAACATAATGACTGGTTCCTAAAGTTTAATCAGCGTTATACCAATCAACTGCCAATTTAAGAAAGCTTGAAAAATCACTATCCGATGGATAATGCTATCAGACCGGAGGCGCTATTAACTGGATAGTAATTTTTTCAACCGTTGTAAGAAATGCTTTTGAAACGCTATAAAACTACGACATCAAACTCACAAATAATAAGTTGCATTTTTCACAACTGTTCCTAGTTAGGTGAACTTAGGTCTAACAGTGTATAGAATATAGTATATATAGAAAATATAAAACCATTTTTGATTAATGTATCTCATCTTCAAGGTTACCGTATCAGGCAGTGATATTCTGGACGTCTACAAACTACCTGTCGGATTTCGAACTGTCAAAGTGACGAGCACACAATTTCTCATCAATGGCAAACCTTTTTATTTCAAAGGTTTTAATATGCATGAAGATTCTGAAGTAAGTAGTGGATTGCTCTAGGAGTTCTTCTATACAGTCCTTTAGGCAAATGGTTGCACTTCGTGAAGTATTTGTGAAGTATTTGGCGGAGGGGGGAGGGAATTGGGTTTCCAAACCTGTGACCAATCTCGCAAGCCAGGCTCTCTCAATTTGCTTAATTTTTAGCCTACCAATGATTTGACGGTTAAAAAATTATATTGTTACAGTTTTGTTACACCGTTATCCAGTCATCATTCAAAAGCTTTCGGAAATTATTGGGGGGAGGGGGTATAAAGTGTTATGTTTCATTGATCATTTGTTTCCAGATACGAGGCAAAGGTTTGGACCTGCCTCTCATACTGAAGAACTTTAATATATTCACATGGCTGGGAGGAAATGCATTCCGTACGAGTCATTATCCCTATGCTGAGGAAATCATGGATATGGCGGATCAGTTAGGGATAGTTGTGATTGACGAGTGTCCTGGAGTGGGTATTCGATCGTAAGGATGTTTTTTCTTCATTACTTTATCTCTGTTAAGGTGGCACATTGGTTAGTGTATGCCGGCATCTTTTAGCATACCGTACCGAAACGTATCAAAAAATTTTCAAAATTTTGAAAAATTTATTGGTTAATACTTCCGTAGTACACCAAAAAGTTGACTGGCGACGAACGTTTCATTTTGATACGCGAATACACCAATGAATACACCCGGAAGTACGCGAATTTGTCAACCTATTTTCAATCTACGCATGCTCACCAGTACGTTTTGGTACGATACTATTGAAACGTTTGCGATCGATTTTGGTTTCTGTAACCGATACAGTTGTTTGGTTATAATTCGTCTCGGTTGCTTGTGAGAACTCTACCAAACATCGCTGGTCTGGTTTCCTCCTGTGGTGATACTGGATCAATTAGAAATGAGAATCCAGTATCTCAAACTCATTTTAATAATTCATGAGTAAATTAGCCAACCATATTCTTTATTTTGCTCACATGATAATACTGGATACCTGGCGAAGTATATTGATCCAGTCCTAGGACTGAATCAAAATTAATTCAGTCCTTGGACTGGATCAAAATTAATTAAGTAGTGATTTATTCGCATGAGATGTCATTTCAAATCCTCCAATTCGGACTGGACTAGATTTCACGTCCTCACATTTTGTTCCAATCTTCGATTTCGCCTCGGACTTGATCAAATTGCGGGGACTTGGATTTGAAATATTACGTGAAAACTTGGTGGAAATTTTATCTTTTCCTTTCATCCTTTTCTTATATTTTTAGACCGAATTTTGGCCCCGCGTCCTTGTCCCACCACCTGTCTGTGATGAACGAACTGGTACGACGGGACAAGAACCGTCCCTCAGTGGTCATGTGGTCTGTAGCGAATGAACCGAAGTCGGACGCACCACAAGCTGAAGCTTATTTCAAGTAAAATACCTCTTTCGGAGAATAAATTGCATGGTTTCTAGAATCCAACTTAATTTAAAAAGTTTTCATTTTCTAGGAGCGTCATCAACCACACCAGACATCTTGATCCAACAAGACCTGTCACGTTTGTGGGCAACAAATCACCAAGCACTGATCGCGTTGTAAGTGTCTGGATTATGTGGACTGTAATATATGAACAGTGTAACAGAGGTGTAACTTAACACTTGCCTGCTTGCCCAGGGCAAGTGAATATCATGACGGGCAAGTAAACGTTTTATCTTGCTTGCCCGATTGGGCAAGTTGCCTTGCCACAAATAGCTGGGCATCTTTAAGTTTATGCTTTCGTTGTCGGATAAATTTTTTTATAGTGCATGTACTTGATTCAAATGTTGTTTTTTGTGGGCCAAATTAGCTAGATCTGAGGCAGTATAACATATCCATCAGTATAGAATGAGTCGTATGAATAGTGAGAGAATGAGTCGACATGTTGTTGTCCCCTTAATTTAGTACCCCTACCTAGGCCATTGTCTGATGGCAAGTGAATTATATTCAGGGCAACTAATTTTCATGTCCAACTTGCCCATCAGGGTTAAGTGATCAAAAAAGTAAAGTTGCACCACTGTGTAACACGTGAAAATGGCGCTATGTATAAATTCACATGTGTCGGAAGAAACTCTTGCAGTCCAAATCCTATTTTCCCAATGAGAAAACGAAAGATCCTTGTTTCCATTTTACAGGGTTCGTATAGCGGTCTTTGAAATCCTTCAAAGTCTTTAAATTTGAATGCAGGTCTTTAAGGTCTTTGAAAAGTCTTTGAATTGTGTGAAAAAGCGAAGAAAGTCTTTAAATTCTTTAGTGAGTATTTGATTATACGATTTTCGCAAATATGGAGGAAAAAGTGCATTTTAGGATGTGATTTGACGGGACTAATTACCTGGTAAAAATGGTGCTTATTCATCGCAATTTTTCGACAGCTGATTGCTCTCAAAGGTATTTGAAAAGTTTTAGACACTAGGCAGAAAAAATCTTTGAAAGTCTTACTTTTACTACACTGTTTTACCACATACTGTAACCCTCTTGTGAAATATTGTGATTTTCATTCCCAGGTACAATTTGTTGATGTAATCTGTCACAACCATTATTACGCGTGGTACGAAGATTCGGGCCATTTGGAGCTTATCCAATTACAACTTGAGTACGACTTGCGTGAATGGTTCGAGAAGTTCACGAAACCTGTCATCCAATCAGAATACGGGGCAGGAACCATTGCTGGCTTACACATGGCAAGTATCTTTAAACCGAGCCGGTCCTTTCCGGGGGGGGGAGGGGAGGAGAGTCATGTTAAAGTTTTCCGAATTTTTATGGAGGATTGTAATAAAATAACGTAAATTTGCCGGATGTTGTCTATTTTTGACGAAATCCTTGCCTCAACGAGCAGAATTGTCGAACTCAGTTTGGTAGACATTCCATCGAGAACGGGACTTGTCTCGTGTTAGCCGTTATAGCTTCGTATGTTAGGCTAGATTTCAGCTAAACCCAACGCTATCGTATGGACTGAGCTCGGGTGGCTTATACCAATTGGAATCGAACGAACTATGGAGAGAGTGCCGGCGGCCCCTAGACCAGTTAACTGATGAACCAACAAGAGGCTATTATTTCGTCTAGTTGAAAATGAGTTTAACTGAGCATTTTATTAGTGATTCTGTGTTATTCAGAATATTTGCCTGAATTTCTAATGTTGATATCAATTCTATAGTATCCTCCAGTCATGTTTACTGAAGACTATCAGGTTTGTTGTCATTGTAAATTGTAGTTGCATCATTTCATTGTACATGCCACCATATTATGGTACCATCATTTTTACACGCATGTTTGGTTTCGCCAAGGTTGGGACGATTGAACAATATTTTCCCGTGTTTGATAAACTGCGCAAAGAATTCTTCGTGGGTGAATTAATTTGGAATTTTGCAGATTTTATGACGAAGCAAGGTCTGTTATCGATTTACGGATTATCGCTTTCGACCCACGTAAAAATCTCACAACTTGCCGGCAAGCTTGTAAACAAGTTGTAACAGTGCTGTTATTTTATCAAGTTGTTGACAAATTGTTGAAGTGCAGGACGATAACAAGTTGTTGGAATTAACAACTTGTAACAAGTTGTTGCGCTCAACAACCTTGTAACAAGCAGTGCGAACACATCCTGTTGACAAGTTGTTGGAACAGCATTGCTACAAATCTGCTGCAGGCTTGTTACAACTAGTGCGTTTTTACGTATGTAGATAATATGTAGACGAGCTAAGCACTTGTTTATATGAACCCTACATGAGGGGCTGGCTCATATGAACAGGCTCATAAGAACAGGCCTTAAATCGGGCTCGTATCAACAGGCCCTAAAAGGCTCATAATTATTTTCCTACGTAATCTCGCTAAACTACTTTTGTTTCTCACAACACAGATGTGAAAAGAGTGAAGGGGAACAGAAAGGGAATCTTAACTCGACAAAGACAACCGAAACATGCTGCTTATGCTTTACGAAATCGCTATCTTAACCTTTCCTTGACCATACAGCCGACGCACGAGAAGTTCCACAACACTGCACGGTACAGATAAATAGAAACAGAAAAATACTGTAACCTCATAAATGACATTTTGAGGTTATTAATTTACTCATTAATCGTCATTAATTTACTCATTTAGAGACGGGGGTAACAGGGGATCATGAGGGATAATTGTACAGTAACATGGATCATGAGGGATACTTTTGCAGTAACAGGGGATCATGAGGGATAATTGTGTAATTAAATTCCCTGCCTCATCCCACTTGCCTAGAACACTTGCCCTCCCCCAATCTGCTAAATACTCCGTAAATTCCGTCCTGTTTTCAAGTTGCCTGCCGGAGGAGGCTATAAACAAATCAAAGACGTACCGGCAACGTTGATTATTATAGTCATTATACCACGCAAGCATTGATTAGTCGGCAAAACCTGTGAATGCAACAGTTAATTTGAATATTTGATTATAAAATATCGTCATATATGAAATATATATAGATGTAAGTGAATTATTGGTTGGGATTTAGTTCTTCTGCATGAAGCATTAACATCACTAAAGGTTTACATTAGCTTTTCCTGAAGGATTTTCTAGATGGAAAATTTGAGTGTAAATTTTATACATTTATTTCTCCCCGCTAACCAGGAGCAGTTGTGACAAATGCAACTCTGATAGGCTCTCTCGAGGGGCATTTCACTCCAAAAATCCCGTACACTTCGTCAAAAAATCCGGAAAAAATCCAGAAAAAATCCATGAAATCCTCAAAATCCGTTGAGTCCATCAAAATCCAAAAAATCCTTTAAAAACCACAGAAATCCTTCAAAAATCCACAGAAATCCTTCAAAATCCTTAAAAAATCCGCAAATCCACAAAAAATATATGAAGTACCTGGTGTAATTTACTCGTAAAGGTTCTTTGCCACGTTCAAAATGGCGGAATACGGTTCCATTTTTACGCTCGAGTATTTTAGCCTATTACTACTAAATATGTGTTCTTGTTACAATGACGTTATGTTGTAAAATATAATTACAAAACCATTGTCTATATAAAAAGTTTATATTCACCATTGTCTTTTACTGTTTTTGTTCATTAAACTTGTTTGAATTTTAAACAAAATGACTGCATGCCCAGCCTTCGTTAGTTTCTGAAGGCTGTGGTCCTAGTCCCAGTCCTCTGCTCGACCCTGACGTCCTGGCATAACGTTGACGTTGTAGACGTCGTACAACTTAAGATTATTTGTTCAAAACGTTACCTAGCTCTATAACTCTATAATTAAAAAAAAATCCAGAAAAAATCCGAACAAATCCGGAAAATCCAAACAAATCCGGAAAATCCAACAGATTTTCAAAAATCCAGAAAAAATCCGAACAAATCCGAACAAATCCCGAAAATCCAGCAAATTTTCTCTTCAAAAATCCGCTAAAAAATCCGGGAAAAATCCGCTAAATCCGCTTAAAAATCCGCGGATTTTTAAAAATCCGAAAATCCCGTGCGCTTTTTTGGAGTGAAATGCCCCTCGGCCGTACGCGTATAATAATAAGAGACGAAATTTACATAATATTTCAGTCAATTTACATAAATACATAGACCTTTCCGTGCATACTATTAGCTTGAACGGTATGATCGATCAAAAAAATCCAGCCAACGGGAATTCAGGATTTTTTTGAATTAGCCAATCGGATAGCTTGTATTCGAGCCCCTGATCGCTTTAGCGATCAGAACTCCCCACAGATCGCGCAAAAATCGAGATAGAGAATCAGATGGCTGGAATCTGACTCAGAGCGTGCAAAACTCATGCGTAAGACCGCTTTTCTGCGCGTTCATGTTCGAAGGCGTTGCTACTGCATGGATGATATCTTAGAACTGGACTGTTAAACTTTCGATAAATACACTGCGCGAAATTTGATAACTGGACTGCTATTTTAATTTAACAATTTTCTCGCCAATTTTTACCTTAGTCGCGTGATCGCTCTGATCACCCCTAGATCCGCCCCTGTATCACCAGTGTTAGAATTATCAATTGCATGGCTTTCTGGATGCTAGCAATAAAGCATATTCAGCTGCTGTCTATATTTTATGTCGAACGCAAACTGGAATATATGCACGATTGATAGCGAGTCAATCTAGAGTTGCGCTGCACTTAAAAGGTGACCTATACCTAGGTTAGAATTAATGTCCGCCACTTTGTTAGCTAGACTGACGCACACGATTAAGAGCGCTTTAGAATCGCAATTAGACATAAGCAGAATGACAAATTGGCTTGATAGTAAAACTGGATTATGTTGGATGCAGAAACGAGGAGAGTGCAAACAATTCGAACGACAGACAGTAAATGAAATTTTACAATTAGGTAAGAGGCATCGTCATGCATAGTATGTTCTAGCTTCTATCTTTCTTGACCTCAACACTTGAGTGTGTCCTAAAAAGACGGCATTTACCAGATTTTAGGTAACCTTGTAATATAACTAGAGGTAGTCTCTGCAGTGAAAATGTCAATTTTGCATGAAGGCTTCGAAAGTAGACAAGTTGAACACAGCTCTAGTCATTTGAAGTCTCCTAGTCCTTGCTAGAGGTCTTAAATAAATGTCTTTCTAGGCTTTAGCATATTCCTAGACTTTATTTGATCTTATATTTTAGATTAATTTAATTAACTATTGAATATATGGACGAAATGATAAAGTATAACAAATATTTGAAAGAAACACAAGTACTATAAACGCAAACATTCTTCAAAAACTGACTAAACTGAAGTTGTCTGTCATTGACATTACGTGTATTGTCAGTTTCAAACTATCGTTTCTTGGTATTAAAATCATTTTTGTGGAACTCATTTCCATATTTTGAAACAAGACAATCTTGTGAACATAATGTGACCAATTGTAAGCCAGTATTAATATGAGGTGATGACCACCCATCGCGGTACATTAAATATTCTATCTTGTATAAACAAATACCAGTTTGCAAAAGACACTTGAAATACTTGCACGGAAGTGACTTTGGCCTATTGCTCTAAAGACATAATTTTGTGAACGATTTAAAGCAAATTGTAATATAGAGTTTATCCACATCGATCAAAATAACATTTGCTGAGTTTATATACATTATTAAGCTTGATTTTTCCTCGTATAAAAGATAATTTTCTGGGAACTAATTCCCATATTTTGAAACACGAAACTCTTGTCAACATAATGTAATCAATTGCAAGCCAGTATTAATATCAGGTGATCACCTTTGGTCACAAGATATCAAATATTAACAGCAAATTCCTGTCTGGTATAAAAGACGCTTTAAACACTTTATGCGGAAGTGATATTTATCTGCTGCTCGAAACCGATCATTTTGTTAAAGATTTCAAGCAAATACTAACACAGACTTTCTCGAAGAACGAACACTGTATCTATATTCAGTCTATATAGCGAGGTTTATACTACAGAGCGACTAACTGATAAACATCAACACAGAACTTGCTTTGTTATTACGAAACAAGAATGGCGTGAAATATGGCGTCGTACATACAAGGTTATGATGAGGAGAGATTTGCGACCACAGTCAATCGAAATTTCCTCTGTTTGATTTGCTTCAACGTTTTAAGAGAGCCCGTCCTGTGTCCGAGAAACCAACATTGTTTCTGCCGTTCTTGTATTACGAAACACCTCGAGAATTCTCGAAGATGCCCTACGTGTGCGGACGAACTGACCGTAGAGACTTTGGCCGAACCCAACAGAATGGTAAAAGATATGTTAAATGAATTAAACATTCATTGCATTTACATCGACAGAGGTTGTCAAGAGATTCTACAATTACAACATCTTGACAACCATGAGGTTACATGTGGATTTACACCAGCCGTTTGTACAAACCAAGGCTGTGGTGCAACTTTAAACCAGCGTGATCTTATTCACCATCAAAGTGAACTATGTGAATTTCGGAAGTTGAAGTGCCACTCGTGCGAAGAAACGACAAAAACGTTGGCAGATATGGAGAAAAGAATCGCGAATGTCGAAAAGAATATGACGACTTTGCAGAAAAATATGGCGAGAAATGAAACCATGGCAGATATCAAAACAGATATGGAAGGAAAACTCGAAGCAGTAAATAATGAAGTGAGAGGATTGAAAACGGCTTTGCTTGAAGGTTTTGATGAAATGAAGGATGTTCTTGTCAAGATGGAGGACAAGAAAGAAGAAAACACAACAAAAGCAAGAAATACAGCAAGTGGTGATAAGGAAAATATAATTGTTGCTGGAGGTGAAGGAACTGACTCTGTAGAGATGTTTAACTGGCGTCAAAGAACATGGTCGCCATTACAATCCTTGCCAAAGAAGCGTTGGGGAGCGACTTCATTTGTGTTCAACAATCATGTGACAATTGCTGGAGGTTTCTGTTCTGGCTATGTCCATGATATGATTAGAATGAATATCAACCCAAACCCTGATCTCTCAATGCACTGGAGTGAGTGTCCTGTTAAACTACCTGCTAAGTTGGCATACCACAGCAGTGTGCTGTATAATGATCACTTGATAGTCACAGGTGGTGATAATGGAAATGCAGTATCTGACTGTATTCATGAAGTCCAGCTGGTTCCTCCGTATACTGTGAAGATCTTATCAAGAATGCCAGAACCAAGACAGTATCACGGCACGCAATTATTTTATGATAACTTGCTGATCGTTGGTGGAAGAACAACTGTCAGTTCCCAAGACAATCTCAGCAGTGTCGTACTGTATGATATAAAGAAGAATGAATGTAAACAGTTGGCACCACTGCCGTATGAAGTGAGTATGATGGCAACTGTGAGATGGGGAGACAACATCGTTGTTATAGGCGGCGCTGACAAACGTATCAAAGCGTTAGATACAGTTATCATTTACAATGTCAAGACTGAAGAAAGTCACTTGCTGCCGTCAATGAGATGTAAGAGAATGGGTTGTACTGCAGTTGTTATTGGAAACAACATTGTTGTACTGGGAGGGTCGAGTGGGCGTGGTGCACTGAAGTCAGTTGAAGCTTTCAACTTTGAAAGTTATACTTGGGAAGAACTTCCGGAAATGTCTCAAGCAAGATCGTGGCACACTGCTGTTGTTGTGTGAACAATGTAAGAATTTGAACTCATTTCCTTGAGACAGCAAGATGTTTTCAATGATGTTGCATTTATAATGAACGATTAAAAGTAGAATAGACCTTATGCAAAAAGGCGTCACAAGACTTGATGCTGGTCTTAGTAGTCATCGCCTGGGAAAATTTCGATAGTGGCAATTTTGAATTGTTTAATTTTCCCGGGGATGACTTCTAAGACCAGCGTTGCTCGTGGGCATCAAGCCTTGTGACGTCATTATGCATAAGGTCTGCTGTATTAGGTACCCGAAGTAGTTTGAGATACAATACATGTAACTGAAATCATTCGTTGTTTTAGCGTATAAATATTGAATTCATGTAGTGAGATAACAAGTTGACTTTAATCATATTGCATTTATAATGAACGATTAAAAGTAGAATTAGGAACCAGATGTAGTTTGAGATACAATAGATTGTTAAATATAACCATATTGATTATTTTGTGTAATTGAAAATCGTTCGCTGTTTCAGTGTAGAAATATTGAATTCATGTAGTGAGATAACAAGTCGACTTTAAATGTAGGAATAAATATTTCAATATACGAGCAGAACTGTAATTTCTTGAAATAGAAATTGTCCTCTTACATTGCGATAATATAAGCAAACGCCTGTCAAAAATGACTTTAAAATGTTAAAAATCCCTTATGTAATTATAAAAAAATCAGAAGCAAAATACAATGTGAAGTTTCAGCGATAACTTTCTTGATATAAATAAATGATTACAAAGCCCATGCAGTCGAATTGTAATCAAGACCCAACGTTTCGTTTCTTGATATATTCCTCAAATCATTTTCGCCATAAAGCCGGTTACAGACCAGTAAGTTCTCTATTACAAGTTTTGAAATGGTAAGTTTTATTCGTCAATTGCCGTGTGTATATAGCAAATTTTCTATGAAGCGTTTTCGATTTTCTGACCGCCACAATAACAGTATACGTATCCAACAACATTAAAGTGCTCAAGTTGCTTTCTCAAATTTTCTTTGTCGACCCTTTCAGACGAGGAAAATTTGTACTTTGCCATGTTTCTCTATATGAAAAGTGCCCTTGTACAAAAACTACTATGCTAGGTTTTAAACAAGTATGCTTGTTATAGAAAAATTCGCTTGTCTGTTGCCGGCTTACTAGTACAAATACTACGTCTACGATTTTTATCTGGCTGGCTGAATATATTATTGCTGGCATTCTATAGCATTTTATTCCAAGAAAATAAAAATGCAATTGAATATGAAATTGTACAGGATTGAAAATTTGAAATTTTCACTTTCAACTTCGTATTACAAGACATTAATATAGCAACGTGGAACAATGGTTTACAACACAAAGCCACATGGGTTACTGGCAGGCCAGTAAGATCAATAGATATCTGGCGCGAGAACTCGAGTCCAAAAAATGGAGTTATTGTTCCTCATTTCAGTCCTTCAGTGTTTCTGCAAAGAGTATGCCGAAATTTCGCTTTCTGACTTCGATTTAATGATTAATACTATATGGTTTTATAAACTTGTAACTTGATTAGCAATTTAATCCATTAGAAAAACTAAAATTAACTGCGACTGTTCACAATCTTCACAGCTATTGGGACGTCAATCTATACTTGTACAACACCGATTTTTTAGAGTGTGTTATTTTCCGCTGGCTGAGGCACGAAAGAAGCGGAAAATGTTTTCTCACACACTGCTGGGGGCCTGATGAAATCAGGGTGTTACAGGGTGGTGCAGGTTATATGAGCATATTTTTGTTGTTGCTCACCGTAGCTTGACAGTATCCCGCCCACCCAGCCCTTTTATGTTTATTAGTACAGAACGGCGTTGGATTGGATATATATGTACCTGTTAGGGTAATTATTAAGCGAGCATTTGTAATGTATGGTAGTTTAAATTAATAAATGTCAAGCTTGCGGCTGACGCTGCAGCAGCTCCCAGCGGTGTGTGAGAAGTCATATTTCCATAGTCGCAGCGAATTAACGCTCCATGGAACGTCTTGTTTAAAACAGGCTAGAAGTCTTGGTATGGTAATACAATTCTATATTGCAATTTATTTCTTGTGAAAATGCTATATGATACGGACATTACATAAAATGTTACGGACATTACATAGTGTGCGTGGTAGCTGTTTACTCCGTCAAGAATCTCTTCATATTCCATGAAATATATATTTTGCTAGTGTTCCAGAGACTGGGACTAATACGTGTTGATATATCACTGACAGGATAGAAAACCAAACTATGGCTTATTAATGAGCTGCACAGAAAGTTTAATGTCTGGATTCAGGGTTTAAACACAAATTTTATTCTATGTCGAAAGAATGGTAGAACCTCAAGAGAGAGGGTGTGGCCCAAATGTAACCATGCAATAGAGACAAATTTTGTTCATTTCAACTCATAATCTATCATGAATGACATAAGTTGTTACATATTTATTGGTTTCAAAATTTGTGATTTTAATTCTTACTTGCCATATGGAATAGCCATGTTTCATTCTAGAATATGTGTTTTTGTGTTTCGTATATACATTTCACTTCATTAATATTGGAACAACGTTGTTTTGTCTTAACTATATGTTCCTGCATTCAATACAAGCAGCGTAGTAATATATAAATATAAAACAAATGATGAGAGTTTAAGAGATATACTTGCTACAAGTGGACTCTCACCGTAACGCATTGTAACTTGTCTCGTATTGTAACGCATTGTAACTTGTCTCGTATTGTAACGCATTGTAACTTGTCTCGTATTGTAACACATTGTAACTTGTCTCGTATTGTAACGCATTGTAACTTGTCTCGTATTGTAACACATTGTAACTTGTCTCGTATTGTAACGCATTGTAACTTGTCTCGTATTGTAACACATTGTAACTTGTCTCGTATTGTAACGCATTGTAACTTGTCTCGTATTGTAACGCATTGTAACTTGTCTCGTATTGTAACGCATTGTAACTTGTCTCGTATTGTAACGCATTGTAACTTGTCTCGTATTGTAACGCATTGTAACTTGTCTCGTATTGTAAGGCATTGTAACTTGTCTCGTATTGTAACGCATTGTAACTTGTCTCGTATTGTAACGCATTGTAACTTGTCTCGTATTGTAACGCATTGTAACTTGTCTCGTTTTGTAAGGCGTAAAACGAGTGAGAACTCGTGGGCGAATGAAAACATCCCAACTTGATACGACTTGTAGCAAGTCTATTTTGAGAGCGACGTGATAAGATCAAATTTGATTTGAAGAGCATAATTAGCGCAGCAGGAAGCCTTACTAAACGGAATGTACTTAGTGCATTATCACGAATTTTTCACCACTATAGGCATCGTATCGCATGGCTTTGTGGATGCTAGCAATAAAGCATATTCAGCTGCTGTCTATATATTTTATGTCGGACGCAAAATGGAATATATGCACGACTGATAGCGAGTCAATCTAGAGTTGAAGGTGAACTATACCTAGGTCAGGAATTAATGTCCGCCACTTTGTTAGCTAGACTGACAGTCTGACGCGCACGATTAAGAGCGCTTTAAAATTGCAATTAGACAAAAGCAGAATAAGTCTGAATAACATATTGGCTTGATAGTAAAACTGTATTATGTTGAATGCAGAAACGAGGAGAGCGTAAACAATTCGTAATTTCGTACGACATGCAGTAAATGAAATTTTACAATGGAGTAAGAGGCATCGACATACACAGTATGTTCTATCTTCTATCTTTCTTGACCTCGACACTTGAGTTTGTGCTAAAAAGGCAGCATTTACCACATTTTAGGTAACCTTGTAATATAAACTAGAGGTAGCCTCTGCAGTGAAAATTACAATTTTGCATGAAGGCTTCGAAAGTAGACAAGTTGAACACAGCTCTAGTCATTTGAAGTCTCCTAGTCCTTGCTAGAGGTCTTAATTGAATGTCTTTCTAGGCTTTAGCATATTCCTAGCCTTTATTGATCTTATATTTTAGATTAATGTAATTAACTATTGAGTATATGGACGAAATGACAAAGTATAACAAATATATGAAATAAACACAAGTACTGTAAACGCAAAGATTCTTCAAAAACTGACTAAACTGAAATTGTCTGTCATTGACATTATGTGTATTATTTCATTAATTTCAAACTATCGTTTCTTCGTATTAAAATCATTTTCGTGGAACTCATTTCCATATTTTTAAACAAGACATACTTGTCAACATAATGTGACCAATTGTAAGCCAGTATTAATATGAGGTGATGACCACCCATCGCGGTACATTAAATATTCGATCTTGTATAAACAAATACCAGTAGAGGCGATATTGGTCTGTTGCTCTAAAGGCATAATTTTGTGAATGATTTGAAGCAAATTGTAAGATAGTGTTTGTCCACATCGATCATAATAACATTTGCTCAGTCTATATACATTATTAAGATCGATTTTTCTTGGTATAAAAGATCATTTTCTGGGAACTAATTTCCATATTTTGAAACACGAAATTCTTGGCAACATAATGTAACCAATTGCAAGCCAGTATTAATATCAGGTGATCACCTTTGGTACATGATATCAAATATTAACAGCAAATTCCTGTCTAGTATAAAAGACGCTTTAAACACTTTATGCGGAAGTGATATTTATCTGCTGCTCGAAACCGATCATTTTGTTAAAGATTTCAAGCAAATACTAACACAGACTTTGTCGAAGAACGAACACTGTATCTATATTTAGTCTATATAGCGAGGTTTATACTACAGAGCGACTAACATCAACATTGTTATGAACGGAGTAATTATTAACATTTTAATATATCGTTTACATTAGCAGACAGAGACATCATGCTATAATTAGCTATAAATAGGTTGTATTAACTGTCAATCATGTACGTAATTGCTTTGTTATTGTAATTTTGTATTGTCTTCGAGTAAAATATATTGTTTTGATTGTTGTTTTAAGGAGTTCATAGCGATTTACGAGCGAATTACGAGCGATTTATAAGCGATTTACGATATTTATTACATGGCGCCCAACGTGGGGCAACTTGAAAACATAACAAGTTGAATCCAAGCGAAATTATGACCGAATCGAAAGAGAATTTAGACCGATTAAGAGCGAAGCGAGGCGGACATCGTGGTGTCTGTACTAAATTAGCGAAAGAAGCGGACGAACTGCTACATTTACCCGGCGATGTTGATGTCGATCGATGCGAAATTATCCGATCTTTACTCGAAGAGAAATTAAAAATTCTAAGCGAAATTGACGAAGAGATTTTAGGATTATGCGATGTAAAAGATATCGAACAAGAAATCGAAGAATCGGCAGAAGTTGTCTTCAGAATATTAACCGCTAAAAGGGAACTCGAAAACGCTTTAAAGCCTGGAATTTCGAAAGTGATCAACGAAAAGAATAACGTCCAACCGAGTCAGTTATCACCGAATCAAGAACTAGACTATGGGAATGATAATTCAACGAATAGTACGATTATTGACAGTGGCGAACAATCAAATAATGCGAGTCAAAGCGAAGTAAACACGAACACGTCTCAGCCGACAGCGACAACAAGTACAACAACGAATGTTAAACCGAAATTACCGAAGCTGACCTTGCCGAAATTTAAAGGTGACGTAACAAAATGGAATACGTTTTGGGACTCTTACGAATCTACGATACATAAAAACGATGCTATTTCCAAGGTCGATAAGTTTAATTATTTGAGTTCTTTACTCGAGGGAACTGCACTACGCGCTATTCAAGGGCTTAATCTTACGAACGCGAATTATGACGCCGCTGTAGAAATTCTCCAGGACCGTTTTGGAAGGCCACAACAAGTTATTGCGGCCCATATGGATGAAATACTTAAAGTAGAAGCTTGCACAGGAGAGAAACTATCTTCCTTAAGATACGTCTATGACAAAATTAGCGTGCATGTACGTGGTCTAGCTTCATTGGGCGTTTCCTCGGAACAATATGGAAGCCTATTGATACCGATTATAATGTCAAAGTTGCCAAGCGATATTCGCCTGCAGATCGCACGAAAGGCCACCAAGGAAGCTTGGAAAATCGATGAATTACTTACTACGATAAAACTTGAAATCGAAGCAAGAGAAATGAGCGAAAGCACTAAGTCGAGTGGGAATAATCAACAAGGCTCTAAATATCAAGATTACAACTCTAAGAACAACGGGAACAAGCCTACTGCTGCTGCTATGTTTGTGAACAATGGCCAGCTGCCCGACAATTCCAAAATCCAATGCGTTTACTGTAGTGGTCGCCATTATTCAGCATCATGCAAACAGATTGTTCCTTGTGAAGCTCGAAAGAAAGTTCTTAGTGAATCAGGACGTTGTTTTAATTGTTTATGGAAAGGACACAACGCGAAAGACTGTAACAATGCAAGAAAGTGCCGCCACTGCCAGGGCAGGCACCACCAATCGATATGTTCACGAAATCAGAAAGTCGAAAGCGCGAAGTCAACCGAACAGCCGAAAAATGAGGAATCTACAACAACAGCCACAAAAATCTGTAAGGGTACTGTTTTACTTCAAACAGCTAGAGCAAAGGCAACGAACGGTGTAAGATCAGTTCCCGTACGCGTATTATTTGACACAGGGAGCCAGCGCTCTTATATTACGAATTCAACTCAAGCGAAATTAAAGTTGGAACCTCTTAGAAAGGAAACACTGTATTTGAACACATTTGGGGACAATAAATGCAAGCGCCAAAACTGCGAAATCTACAAATTCAATATCGAGAACCAAAACGGAAGTGAAGAGGTAGAAGTTACAGCAATTAATTTCCCTATAATATGTTCTCCACTGAACTCGAAAGTCAACATGAATTACGTGCATCTGGAAGGGCTGGAACTTGCAGACTTTGGCGGCGACGATAATGAAAGTAACAGCATCGATATCCTAATTGGCGCAGACCATTATTGGGACATTGTCACAGGTGATGTTGTCAAAGGTGAAAGTGGTCCCAGCGGTCAGCAGCAAGCTTGGATGGTTGTTATCCGGTCGAGTACCAAAATCTGCTGAACACGAAGATCCAACTGTTTCAAATCTCACCCTAACTGGTGAATCATTGGACACATCAAGATACTTCACCGCGCCAACGAACGAGGACAAGATTGTCAATTCACTAAAGCGTTTTTGGGAAACAGAGTCCATAGGAATAGACAATTACCAAGCTGAACCAAACGATGATGTCAACTTCATTCGTGATATTCGATTTACAGGAGAACGGTACGAAGTTCGCCTACCTAGGAAAGAGGACAATCCTGAGGTCGCAGTCGACTACGAACTTTGTTACAATCGGTTACGGTCGTTGCATCAGAAGTTAACAAGACAACCTGAGCCTCTTCGAGAATATGACAAAGGAATTCAGGAACAATTAATATCGGGAGTAATCGAGCGAGTGCCTTATCAAAGCGACGACAACAAAGAGAACGAAAACAACGTGCATTATCTTCCACATCACGGTGTAGTAAGGAAAGACAAATCGACTACAAAGTTGCGAGTGGTCTATAATGGATCAGCTACCATTGGACCAGGTGGAGTGGACCAGAGTATCTTTACAAGCCTCAGTGCGAGTGGCCGAAGGATCCAGCAGCGAGCGCCCTGGATGACACAGCCTTGAACGAAACCGTTAAGAAACCACAGACTGTTATTCATTCACTCGTCAGTACGAAAGAAGAAGAATCAGCTGAATTGAATCTGAACGACATCATAAATTGTGACCGTTTCAGCAGCTTCGCTAAGCTGTTGCGTGTAACAGCGTACGTGTTAAGGTTTGTCAACGAACTTGAAGTTAAACGAACTGCTAGGAACACGGAGAATATGCAAGGAGAATGTGTAGTGGGTGAATTGCGAAGACTGGAACAGATGAAAGAGTTTCAAAGGAAGACATAAACATTATCCGTTAATTAATTATTTGAGAAACCGATTATGCGAACAGTTAGACAGACTGTAGTTCGTGAAACTTTCATATTTCTAGTTACGATTATTCTGGGGAGTATTGTTGAGCACTGTGTACGGCTCAACCCTGGGGAGTGTTATGAACAGAGAAATTAACATTCTAATATATCGTTACATTATCAGACAGAGACATTATGCTATAATTAGCTATAAATAGGTTCACTGTATTAACTGTCAATCATGTACGTAATTGCTTTGTTATTGTAATTTTGTATTGTCTTCGAGTAAAATATATTGTTTTGATTGTTGTTTTACGAAGGAGTTCATAGCGATTTACGAGCGAATTACGAGCGATTTATAAGCGATTTACGAGCGAATTATAAGCGATTTACGATATTTATTACAGATAGAGTCTCTGGACGTAATGTTGCTACATTGCTTAGGCCCGGTTTAAACGGCGAACTTTTCATGCGCCGAATCTAATTGTCGTAGATACGGCAAAATATCGGAAGCTGATTTAGACGTCGAACTTAATTGTACCGTACCAAATTGCGAGGACACTATATTGGACATATTTACAATGCAAATATATGATAATCATGTTATGATGTTAAAAAATAATTATGCATTAGGTTCGGCGCATGAAAAGCACGGCGTCTAAATCAATGTCGAACCTGTGTCGCATATACGACTTGTCTTGTCGCATCTTCGAGTCATGTCGAACTTAATCAAAACCTGTCGAACTTAACTGATTTCTGAGACGCCGCTCCAGCGTCGCACTTAATTCTTGCATTAGATTCGGCGCATGAGAAGTTCGCCGTCTAAACCGGGCCTAACTCGTTATCGTGACTGTCTTTTTAATTAAAATGTAAGTCAGGGAAACGTGACAAAAATGTATGGCAAGTTCATGGCAAAAGTTATAAGGTTGTTTTCATATTAACTGCGCGCATTGCATTTTGGGTATTTGCGCATTGCATTTTGGGTCTATCATAGACCCATATATCGGTCACTGGGCCTGGGCCCCACCAGACGTTGCTCGGATTTGACTCGGTTAACCGACAAACTTGAAAACATGGCCATGGACTTTGTGACGTACCTTGAAGTTCTTTACCCGCAAAACATTCGACAACATGTTATGGTTCTTAATTATAATACTTGACAACTTTATTTTGATTATTAATACCGAAAGTGACCGGTCAAAATGACCGGCAAGGTAAGAATTTGACCGGACAACTCCGCATTCTGGCCGGACATTGTCCGTTGACCGGCCGTTATTTCGCGCCTGCCCATCACACATAGCAATTCAAGGGCTATAAACTCAAAGAAACAATTTGGACCCTTTAAGTTTTTAACCGTGCTTAATATATGCGTCTCTCCCTACATGTGCCTTTATGAATTATGGCCCGTTTTGAAGACCACCCCGCAGGCCGCTCCATTTTAATAATGTTCTAGAACATTTGGAACACTGTTCTGGAACGATATAAACTGAGGAGTGCACACTATATTCACTAGTTATTCGCATAATAAATCGTATAATGATTTGCTGTTATTTGTTACGCCAAACCCTGTCCCTGGCGTTCAAATAGCATATATTAATAACTATACAGGGGTTTCAGAATAAGCCGGGAGTTCCGCGGGCTACTTGAACTTTTACCGCCGGCTACTTTTCGTCTGGCCACAGGAAAAATTTTATATACAAAGGTACAAGCGAACCAACACGATGTTTGTCATGTTCCAATTGGAATTCAAGTTGACCTCGAATTTCCCTGAAATCAATCGACGGCACTGGCGTTAAAAATTGCCGTAGAATGTAACAGCTGTCTACGCAATTTTGTCAGTTTCCACGGCATTTTTTCAAATTACTGTAATAAAAATTTAATTTTATTGTTACTTTATTTCTTTAGTGTTTTTTTTTCGAAGAAAACTGAGACTAAAATAGTAATTTATGGATGATTTGATCAACATCTGAATTCAAGTATCAAAATAGTAATGCACAGTGAACAGTTTAAAAATTATACTATACGGCAAAAAATTGCCGTCGTTGCCGCAATGATCCACGGCATTTTGTTCTCCGGCCTCTACGGCAATTGCCGCGATAAAATTCAATCAATAAAATTCATGCCCCTACTCGAAAATCGGGGTAGTCAAAACAGTAAACAGTTCAGAACAGTCATGTGACTGTCTTCTGTTCCATTCCATTAGTGTTCCGCAATTCCGGAGTACTCCGAACAGTAAATGGAGCAGCTTGCTGAAGCCCAGAAAATGACCCAGACACACTGAATGCAAGGCAGGATTATTCAGTTGTCAGAACAGCCCTCCCGCCGAGGGTGAATATGTACATCATATATACTGCTTGCAAGAAGAGCTTCATATAGCACTCTACAGAGAAGCATTATGCAAGCAAAAAAAAACACATTCTGGTCGTACTAAAATCAATATTGATGCACCAAAAAATGCACCAGGTAGCTCGATCATTACTTACTTTCCAGTAACAAAGAAATTAAACATATCATCACCTTCTTTTAATTGCCAAGATGCATATGGTCTATTAAATAAAACAATGTACAGCATTGCGCTTTAAGTTTGTAAGAAACTACCTATTTGTATGGTATATCTACCTGATGTATATATTTTACACAAAATACTGGGGCCATATGGTAGAATACGGAATGAATGGGTATAATTTAAGAGTAAAAATACACAAAATATATACCCCTGTAAACTATACATTGTATATTAAATAACGTTTTATTATAATTATTATTATTATATATTATTATAGTTTATATACCTCATGTAAGGATCCATGCTCAAACATTCAACTTCAACCAAAACCTCTACAGTATGAAAATATTCAATGAGATGACGATGCTTTAATTATATTACTCAGATTGTGTCTACACCAGGCAATGCATGAGGCAAGCTGAAAATTTTGCATGTTGGGAAACCGGCACAACATTTGGTTTACCTTTGCCAGTCCCATGCTCAAATATATATATATGCGCGCCAGATTAGTGTGTGCATGCATGTGTGCTGACTGCCAAAGTGTGTGCATGTGTGCTGACTGCATGCAGCTGCTTTAAACTGATTGATTTCTTATTAAACAACAAGGCATTTCTATTTTCTTCTTTATAACTTTAATATTGGAAATATTAACAATAACAATAAATAGGTATTGCCCAAAAGGAAAAGTGCAAACGGGTCAGGAAAAGCCCATGTGAGGCACCTCCCTTAATATAAACTTTACAATTATATTTACATAATTAAATACACTATAAATTATAGTTGAGGTAAAGCTCGATTTGCACATAACACACAAACTATTCAAGTGCATTATGAACTATGTGGCAAGTGATGCCACCAAAGGGGGTGACCACCAAGGGGGTTGAGGGGGGTGGCCCCCAAGGGGGGTGAGGGGGGTGGCCACCCCACCTCTCCACTATTTTTCAATTTCAGGGTGACTGTATAGTTTAGATTTGTTCAAATCCAATGAAAAATTGGGGAGGGGCCTGGGGATGGAAAATTGTCAGCACACGGTGTTGCATACTTTGTGTGCATGACTACTCATAGAATCTAGATACTAAACTTTGTTCTAAATATATATACAAAGTATTCTGAAATCACTATTTGACACAGATAAAAGGTGATCTATTAAGACCTTAATTAATTTACATTTTTCTCCATTTGTGCCTCCACAAATTCAGGGACACATATCCAATGTTTTTTTTGGGGGATGTCCTCTGTTCAGGGATCGATTCTCCTCTAATGTTTGGGAATGGCCTTAAGTATATATGATGTAAAGCATTACAAAATCTCATTTCAGGAGACTGGCTTTTGAGCCACACTACAAAAAAGAAAAGATATTTTTATATCCAAATTTGTTTGGAAACCAACCATGCAGCTGGGGCACCGGAAGCAATGTGAAGCGGCGGGGGCAGCCATTTCAAAAGGGCACTTTCTTCTCAATCGTCATTTTTCTGGGCGGCAATATTTGTTAAAAATTTACTGTAGTATGGACACTCTATTACTTGTGGCTATTATGGGTTGGCAAACTTCGACATTAATTTTGAACAATTTTATTCGTTGCACCATGCTAATACAAAATAAAATCAGTAAACAGATGTATATTGCATGATTTACTAGTGATGGGCGATACCAGGATTTTTAATTCGATACTGATACTTTTAAGATCGGTATCGGTCGATACCGATACCTATTTCGATACCAAAATAAACACCAAATTTCAATTTTCGATACCGGAAGTGAGTACTGAAATTTCTAGTATATAGGCTACTTTCGATACCTGCCGGTCAGCGGAAAAACATTTTACTTTACTGTATGTAACCTAAATAAAGCTATAAGTATACCAAAAGCCAGAAAAGTAATAAATGTTTTCTATACATGACTTGGCGCACCACATTTGGAATATTAAGAGCTATTTTAGTGGTTCATTATGTCTTATTCAACCAAGAAGTGAAATAAAACAAGTCGTTTAAAAAAGGGTGCAATTAGTATTGAACGATACCACGTCAGTAATCGATACCGATACCGCTGTTTGTGGTATCGCTGGTATCGAATACCGAGTACTCGGTATCGCCCATCACTATGATTTACTACAATTGGCAAATTAAGCAAAGCTTGCTTAAACATTGCTTAAAAATAATTATAAATTCCAATTCCGGTGAATAACGCACAAATTTCAAAGTGCAGTTCAGGTAAAAATGGCAACCTGTTGCCCCTGTGCTGGGCAACAGGGGCAGTTGCCCTCGCTGCCCCTGTGGCTCTGGTGCCACTGAAACCAACCAAATGCCTTGGACCAAGATTTCCTGTATTTTCTGATAGGTATTCTTGGGTAAATATAAACATCCAAATTCGACCACTATAGTTTCTCACTATTCCTTCATTCAATGGTGGTGCTAATAAAAGTGGTTGGAGGAGGGTATTATATACGGAACGCTGAAGACGGAAGTGAGCTCCGGGATCACCAGTTTACAGGCTGAAATCTAGAGTCTCTGAAATGCGATATCCAGCAATTTGGGGTAAGATTATACAGTATTCTGGAGAATGTAAAGTACATGAAACACATGATTTTCATGACATATTAAATATGCAGGTATTAATTAAAGCAACTATACATTAATTAAAAATAAAAACTTCGCCTTTGTTTTCATTGCAAATCGGGCAAAAGCCAAGCTTGTTCTTCACTGGAAGGTCATTTAATTTCATTCTTTATCTAGATGTAAATGCCGGGGGTGTCACACACCCCTACAGGGACAGAACAGGGGGGCCGGGGGACCCCCACTTTTTCAGTAGATAATAAAAAAATACCGGATACAATCCAGCCTGCCTGCATGGAATAGCTTCCGTGCTATCCTGGACCCCCACATTTAAACAGGCTCTGTGGTCCCTGCCCAGTGTATACACAGAGCTGTCAAGTCTCACAGATTACCTGTGAGCCTCCAGGTTTTTGGGGCTGCCTCCAGACCCCCACATGCATGACCCCATTGTATGGGGGCATAATTAGTAATAATTAATCATAGTTAATTGGTCCTAATTGGATCATAATTAAGCATAAGTCTAATTCATTTCCTCGATTTATGATCGTATATAAATGACAACGTTACGCAATAGTTCCAATATCCAAATGACATGACAATCGTTACGCAATAGCACAGAATAGGAACATAAGCAATAGTTCCAATATCCGAATTGAATGTTCAAAAGTCATATTAAGAGCCTACCTCCCACGTTGACAGGGGGAAGTTCTACTTCCACAAGTTGTAAGTCTGTGAGTTTCGGCATCCCTTCAAACTTGTGAGCGTAAATATATTTCTTGCCTTTCATATTGTGATTCAGATATCGTCTGGGTATCAATGAATTTGGATTTTGGATATTTATAACTGACCACAAAATACGATGGAAAGCTTTGATGTAAAGCAGTAAAGCTAGGCAGTCTAGTTCTATAAACTGTGAGGCAGTACGCTTCTCACAAGAAGTTGCGTAGTTACGTAACTATATCAAACCACTGATCAAACAACTCATCAAAGTTGATCAAACACGCTCAGAAGCAGACTTCTGGTCAGCACCTTTGATGTTTAGCGCCCCGCCACGCAATCGCAAAGTAGTACGTGGAGGAGGCGGGGGCAGGTTGAGCGGTTGGCTGCTCCAGCTTATATGTTTTATTTAATAAAAAAAACTCGAATATATATATATATATATATATATATATATATATATATATATATATATATATATATATATATATATATATATATATATATATATATATATTGAGATTTTAATATCGTCTCAGAAAATATATTATGTTATATATATATATATAATTACAAAACAAAAAACGCCTCGCATAATAAATGCTTTGTAGGACTGTTGTATGGTGTCCTAGGAGAGACATCAACATTTTTGTTTCATTTTTAAATTTATTTGCATTCAAATTACATTTAATGTATTTTTATTTTTAAAATTTATCTTTTTCTTGTTTCTATTTTGTTTTAAATTATTTTAAAACGTTTCAATTCAGTTGGTTTTAATTTAAAAATTAATGATGTCTCTTCTCGGACATGACGATTTAAAAAAAAAATCCTCATGTCCGAGAAGAGACATTAAATCACAGATTAAGTATGACCAGATGTGAAACTTAATAGGACTTCGTCAGAGAATAAAGACATACGAGACATACAGAGACGTAACTAGTGTACCCACTTTTTTGTGCGCATGCTCGGCAAGTTACTAGATGCATGCATCTGATTGGATGACAACCTGATGACGACTCACTTTAAACTTGCTGAGCACGCGCAGTTGATCATTTTTCGCCCGGTCGCCTGAAAAAAAGTGGGTACATGATAACGTAATCTTCCGCAATGTTTACAACCGTCAGTTACGTCTCTGTATGTCTTATCTACCCTGTGACTCGAGTAACCGCTGCCACGCCATGATTCGTCATGAAATTGTTGACAGTCCTAGCCAGTGCGCTTACGAGAAGCATCCCCCTGGATGTCCGCCATTCTGAATATTATCAGGGGGAACAGGGGGATGAATGCCTCTCAAACGCGGACTGTTTAGGACCATGGCGTCAGCATTTTGATGACGAATTACGGTTACGCCAAATCATTGGAAAATCATAGGAAAAACCAAAAAGTTGGGCAACTGTGTAGCCTATATCTGTGACTTCGTGTCCTCAAATTTCCCTAGATGTACATACACGTCATGCTCACGCCATCAGACTTGCTACTTGCTAGCAAAATGGCGTCCTGAAAAACACGAACTTTTAATTTTTTGGCACTTTATTGCGGCCTTTTTGGATCGAAATTTTTGGATTAAACAATCAATGTTAAATGTTTAAAGTTGTTGAAAGCAATTAAAGTTGTTGAAAAGGTGTTGAAAGCATTTTTGAAAGCAAGACGTATTACCAAATGACGAATTATCACGCGAGCGACACTTGATAGGAAGATGGCGACCGTGGGACAACTTTTTTACTGAAGTTACACATCTGTTCTTAATCTGTGATTATATCTATATAGCTCAGTGCATTAACGTGATTTACCGCTGTCCAGGATTGTCAAATTAGGCGCATAGTTACAATACTAGACTTGCATCCAAGATCCAAATCATCCTACTCTATTCCCAAAACAAGAACAAATTATGGAATTTTTAACATAAGATATCAAGGAGCAAAAGTATGGAACTCTCTTGATGAAACAAAAAAAGCTCTATCTCTTTCCTCATTAAAAAATAATTTAAAAGCTAATTTTATCAATGATTATTGATAAATTATGGCTAATTTGATCAATTTTCGTAGATTGTTGATTTTCTATGTAATGATTAACAAAATCTCCTAAATGATGTGCAGCGGTTGTTTTCTTTGTCTGTGTGTCCTCTGTCTCCGTATTTCGACTTAGTGTGTTTATGTCATACAAATCTATCCAAAAAAAAAATTGTGCATCTTTCACTATAATGATCTGGCTGCCCGACATCTAGCCCTTACGGTTATTACGGGTAGCCAGTACCTATATCTGATATTTATACTAAGTGAATTGTAATAGTGTAATAGTTATTTTCTTTGGGGTACAAATAAATTGTTGTTGTTGTTGTTGTTGTTGTTGTTGTTGTTGATGCTCTCCCCAGTCTCTCTGCGGCAGTTAGGTCACAGATGATAGATAATACCAGATGAATCACTCTATACCTATCCCTATGATTTTCGTGTCCGCGATTTTCGCGAGGCTATTACGCCAGATGACGCGTGCGACACTTACTGCCAAAATGGCGCTTACTGCCAAAATGCGTGATTGCTATGGTGATTGCTCACGTTTCATGGCGTGGATTACACTTACTGCCAAAATGGCGGCCAACGCATGTTTATAAAAAATCGCGGACACAATTTTGGCTGAGTGATTGATCTGGTATTATCTATCATCTGTGGTTAGGTCAAACTGAAAGCATGGCGGACGAAGATGAGTTCAAGAGGTACCAGAAGATTATGGCAGCAAAGAGGACAAGAAAAATAGAACGAAACACTTGAAACCTGGAAAGGGTAAAGACCGGCTCGTACCTGAAAAATTAACAATTCAGCGATTATCAGCTCAAGTTAAAGGATCTTCCCAAAAGTATGCCAGCTGGAATGGGGCCTTTAAAAAGAGTAGATGTTTTTGGAAGACGACATGTGTGCACCACTAACTATTGATGTTTTGACTTGTGAGAAGGGTTTGTTGCTGATTTCAACATGAAGGGGTTTGATTGTGATATACAGTACTAGAAACTGAGCGAGGACCACCTATCGAAAATCTAAACGAAGTAAAGAATTTTAATGGCACATTTTTTGTAACTGTATATTGTTTGTGGATGAATCGTACAAAAAATGTGCCATTAAAATTTTTTACTTCGTTTAGATTTTCGATAGGTGGTCCTCGCTCAGTTTCTGGTATATCACAATCAAACCCCTTCATGTTGAAATCAGCAATACAAGCCCTTCTCACAACATCAATAGTTGGTGGTGCACACATGTCGTATTCCAAAAACATCTACTTTTTTTAAAGGCCCCATTCCAGCTGGCATACTTTTGGGAAGATCCTTTAACTTGAGCTGATAATCGCTGAATTGTTAATTTTTCAGGTACGAGCCGGTCTTTACCCTTTCCAGGTTTGTTCCGTTCTGTTTTTCTTGTCCTCTTTGCTGCCATAATTTTCTGGTACCTTTTGAACTCATCTTCGTCCGCCATACTTTCAGTTTGACCTAACTGCCGCAGAGAGACTGGGGAGAGCATGCGCCTCATCTGGCAATCCTAGTCAGCGGTAAATCACGTTAATGCACTGAGCTTTAATCACAGATTAAGAACAAATGTGTAACTTCAGTAAAAAAGTTGTCCCACGCCATCTTCCTATCAAGTGTCGCTCCGACGTGATAATTCGTCATTTGGTAATACGTCTTGCTATCAAAAATGCTTTCAACACCTTTTCAATAACTTTAATTGCTTTCAACAACTTTAAACATTTAACATTGATTGTTTAATCCAAAAATTCCGATTCAAAAAGGCCGCAATAAAGTGCAAAAAAATTAAAAGACGCCATTTTGCTAGCAAGTCTGATGGCGTGAGCATGACGTGTATGTACATCTAGGCACAAATGATAGATTATACCAGATGAATCACTGTGTATCTATCCATCCCTATGATTTTCGTGTCCGCGATTTTCGCGAGGCTATCGCGCCAGATGACGCGTGCGACACTTACTGCCGAAGCTTACTGCCAAAATGGCGCTTACTGCCAAAATGCGTGATTGCTCACGTTTCATGGCGTGGATTACACTGACTTACTGCCAAAATGGCGGCCAATAGACTTCTACAGATTATGCTACGAAAATGCTGAAATTGTGCTCTAAAAATGCTCAAAAGTTGCTTGAAAATCGAATAAGTTGCTCAAAAGTTGCTCGAAATTTGAATAATTGCTCAAAAGTTGCTCGAAAATTGAAAAAAAGTTGCTCGTAAAATGTCAAGCGTTTCTCGTAACGAACAAGACATACATGACGCTTCTCCCAGCATTAGCATTTCACCGCCTTTTCTTCATCATAAATATTGTGGGGTCATAAACAAATCGCTTTTAATTGTTTTCAAGCGAAAATAACATTCAATTTTGTGTATGATGTACTGAAATACTATTGAATTCAATTAACATTCCTATTCTAGTCTTATTCTGTGGTAGTAGGTCGCGAAAATGAGATAACTTATTTCTCAGCATTTTTCAGTAAACCTAATTCTTCGGTTTGGAACATACTGCAGCTATGAATAATCAACAGACTCTATTTCTCATATGTATTTATAATAGTGTATTACTATTAGGCACATGAACTTTCGTGATACTTTCAAACTGCACCATTGTTGGGTTTGATAAACAGTCATAAACTGAACTTGCAAACTGGTCTGAGCCGCCAGCAATTAGCAAATTAATGTAACTTGCAGTTATGGGGGTTGTTATGGATGTTTGCAAATATGTCAAGCTGCTGATTGCCATAGGATCTCCCAAACTGTAGAAGTAATGGTAAGCAAATGGCCAAGGATAAGGAAAATATTTTGGAGCCTTGTGGTGCTATTTTTTCATATGACCAAGAAAACGAGCTTGAATATGGATCAAGGGATTTAAGGCTATCAAGCATTTCTTTATTTTTCTATAAATAACATTAGCAACAAGGTCTATATTGCCAGAAATTTCCAAAAATTATGCATTTCCTGGAGGAAGTTGCTGATATCATAAAAAGTTGCTTCAAATGCAAAAAGTTGCCAAAAAGTTGCCGAGCATAATCTGTAGAAGCCTAGCGGCCAACGCGTGCTCATAAAAAATCGCGGACACAATTTTGGC